GAAAACAAGAGGGAATCCTACAGTCCAACAAGCCCGACAGAGAAATAACTTTTAACCTATCCAGACAGGCGAATAGATGAACATGTCTAGATCGATTTGTCTCGTCATGCTGATTAAGAATTTATATACTTTATGGGGCCGAGATGTTTTCTCCTGCCTGTTACATGCGTGGCCCAAACCTAATATGGCCTTTTTACCTTTTGGTTTTACCATCTAAGGTTAAGTATATACTAAATAGAATTAACATGTAAATCAGCATGGTCTGTCGATTTTATAAAATATTAGAAACATAAAACAAACCACTTTAATCGACTTATGTATGTACATATGTTTCGTTTCACTTAAGAGGCCGGCTTAAAGCTTTTTGTTTAGATGTTTCGAATCTCACTCTCCAGTATTACTTTGTAGTTTCTGTTACTGCAATTATTATGCTGCCATTCTGTTTTTTTCTCTCTTCTTTTGCTTACTGTCGCTGTTTTCGTTGTTGCCAGCATGTGTCTACATATGTATGTACGAGTATGTGTGTGTTTGTTTGTTATTTGAGAGTAGCTTTTGAAATTTGTATATTTCAGAGCTCAGCTTGGACGGCCACCACAGTCGATTTGGGCTGACAAACCAACATGTACATATGTATGTAAAAACTCATACTTACATACATGCATATGTATGTATGTATGTATGTATATAAGTACATACTTATGTTTGTGTGCGTTACAAATCGTTAATGGTTAATTACACTTACTAAGCGGCATTGTTGTTTGTGCGGCAAAAGGGCACCGTTTAAGCCACACTCGTAAATAAATACATACATGCATATGTACACATAAATACATACATATATATGTAAGAGTATGTACATAATACGAGTATGTATGTATGTATGTTTTTTTGTGGGCAATTGGTAAGGCGTATTAAAAGAAAACAAAAGCAGAGTATGCTGCGTACTTACAGTGAGTGCCAAAACAGCAACAACTAGCGGCGCGTCATTCACAAAAACTTCACACAACAACAACAATAGCAACAATAGGCCGCACAACAACTCACTCACACTTGCATATGCGTATATATATATGCACATATACACTTGTATATGTATGTAGGTAAATTTATATATTCATTATTTTGTGTGTAAAAAAATTAACAAAATGCAAAAAAAATTGTACTACAACACGCAACAACAAATAACATAAGAAGACATTTGTTGTTTTGAACCGCAGCAGCAGTGGTGGTAGCGGCGGCAGCAGTAGCAGAGCAGAGCAGCGCAGCCCACTCACACACACACCCGCGACCGTGCAGGTTCAAACTTCGATTGTAACTGAATAATAACTTGAACTGAAGCGGCGAATTGCTGAAAGCGCAATGCGAAACGACATTGAATTAAAACTGTGTACAAAGCTTTTGGCGCGACGCTGCTGCCATCGACGACGATGCCAACAACTGAAGCACCAACAACGACAACGACTACGACTGTGTTGTACGAAGCTTTCGGCTTTGGTTTTCCCTTTGCATTGCCTCTATGTCGTATTGCCGTTATCTGTGCCGCCCGCCCGACCAATGAGCGTAAATCTGAGCCCGGTGTGTAGCCAAATACTCGTACATACACACCTACGTACATACATAAAAGGTAGGTACGCATGTACGTATATATTGCTCCCCTGTAGTACTGAAAAATTCACTAGTTGCAGTTTGTTTCGAAAGGAACGCTGGCTACGATCGTCGAATTACAAAAACATCATGCAATCATGTTGCTCTTTCTGTTCTGAGAGCGCAGAAAAGCATTTCAATATCAGCAGTAAAAGCAAAACTCAAATGCACAGTTAGAGCTGGGAAATTTTAAAAAATTAGGTAAACAACAAAATAAAGACAAGGAAAGAAAATAGTTTTTTTTTCATCGAGTTGGAAAATCAGTATTAAACGTCGATCAATCTCTCGTCGCTCGCAGTTAAAGTTTTATTTGCTAAAGTTCTAACCTTGGAATTGCCCCCAAATTATGGTACAATCACCTGATTTCATTGATACTTTCCGGCTTTATTGGCGTATAACATAAAAACGCAGGATTGCTAGCAAAAAGAGTGTAAGAACGCTTTGGAATGGGAAAAAAATCACACCAGAATCAAGACAATGTCTACTGGAAGCTATACATCAATGAGGCTATAGTTTGAAAGTATTACAAGTAATTATGCTGCGTCGAAAAGGTGTATGTTGTTTTGTTTTTTCTAAAATAAGTTCGCTTTTGTTGAAGTAAATCAAATAATTGACTTTAACGGATGAACTAACTATAGAAAGTAAATGAACGATGAACGACTGAGCTATATCTTCAAAGTGAACTGATTAGAGAAAGTTCACTAGGGAAAACGTCGTGCTGACGCCCATTACTGCGGGGTAAGTACACATGTACGTACATATTGCGCTTTTGTGGACTTTAACATGCACACACCTTTTTCAAACACACAACTGCACGTGTATTTGTGTACACACGTGTGTTTGTATGTATGAATGTATGTGCAGGGGCACCTATTCTTCAAATGTCCTTGACAGGAGTTGTGGTGTGAACGTGTCCAACTGTTTCGCTGTCGATTCAGTTATTTATTTATCGTCACAGTCCAATTATATTAGGCTGGAAATTTTTAAAAGCATTTACACTGTTTTAAAAATTTATGGACCTCCATCTGTGTATAGTATGTGTGTGTGTGTTTGTCTGAGTGTGTGCCTTCCCCACTGTCAATGGCAGCATGAAAAGGTCATTGCAAAAACAAATGTGTGTCAGCAATGCAAATATTAAAACACACACACACATACAATAGCAACGATAACCGTAACGCACGCGCTTTACGCCTGTGAATCACGTATTCAGTTTCCGTGAGTCGGCGCAGCTGTTTTTGAAACGGTTTTCTGTGTTTTTCAGGACCGTCCCCCTTTTTGATTTTAATGAAATCATTCCTCTTCGTATTCTCTTTGACTGCTTAAATTCAAAAGGAATTCGCAATTTTCAGATTAATTTATACATTTTTGCGGTTTTCGGCTTACAACGCTTATACTTGCCCAACTAGTATCAAAAGTAATTCGCTATTTCGGATTCCCGACTTTTCGGTCTTAAACGTTTTAATTTTTTTTTCTTTTGCTTAAGCATTGTTATATTTAGAATTTTTTATCCCACATAAAAACTATAAATAAATTGGATGAATTAATTTCGTAATTTCGATGTCACGAAATTTATTCGAATTCGGAATTCGGAACAGGTCTAATTGGCACGCCCCTTTCAAAAAAAAAAAAAAAAAAAGCTAAAAGAAATGATTCTAGTTAGACAACAATTTATGAGTTCCACGGCATTTTCTGGGAGCAAAAGGATAAAACGTGCAATTATCAAATGCCAGCAATAAAGCAGGTTTGCGTGTTTATTACGCCATTCTGTTAGTCTTAATTGTTGGCCAAAACTCAAACCACGCGCTAAGCAATCAAGAAAATCGTGTTTGTTTTAAACTATCCGTGCTTTAAAAGACTAAGAAGTGACCAAGAAAGTGTAGAAACGTAGCCAACTAAGCTAACGGAATTTAATTCTGGCATGCTTTCTATAGGGCTAGTATTCATAATATTATTCGTAGACTGAGTTTAAAACAAATACTACAAAGCTAGCCGTACTTAAAGGAGTGCCTAAGCAAAAAATTATGGAACGTATTAAGTGATTTTTTCTGCCTTATTATTTACGGAAATACGGAAAAAATTTATTAAATGAAAAAAATGTATTTTTTGTAGAGTTTTCCACGCATTTGAAAATTAATTTGAATGGAAAACGCATAAAATAAATACATATAATTAATTAAATATCTGAAGTCTGCGGCTTTAAGTTAAAATTAAATAAATAACTATTAAAATGATTAAAATACTTATCAAATATACATATGTATGTATTTGCTACTAATTCTTAGCTATTGAATGTAGCAGAAACACGAAATATATTGATAAGTACATACAATAAAATTTTCACCATTTTATACAAAACTTTGAAAAATGTCTATGTTTTTCTGTTTGAATAAAGGAGCACTTACATTTGTGACGTCACAACGAACGGACGAATGTAACGATCCTGTCCTACATTTCTGACGAAACAACACTTTCTTGCACATACATGGTGGTCCTGCCTTTAAGTGTCACTCGTCGATGCATCCTGGTTTCTGCAACGAAGCACTAAAAGTAGAATGGATAATAAATAATAAATAAATATATATTTACAAACCATTCATTCATTTTTTTTTTTTAATAAAACAAGAATGGATATAACATGTTTTTCAGCATATATTTTTAAATGTAATGAACTATTCCACATATGTACATATGTTAGTGTCAAGTTTGTAAGCAGCTTTTCCCAATGGGTTGGTGGTGGGGACCCAATAAATTAAAATGTTTAAATAATGCACGATAATCATTTATGCATATGATCAACAGAAAAAACTCAACAAATCCAACGCAGTTCCATTTTAGGGCGAAATAGTACGCCATAATAATGAATGTGTCGACTTCAGATTGCGAAATTTTTTAAAGGGGGTGGGGGGAAAGGTAATGGGCAGGCGTACAAACGTCTTGTCATCCTGATCAAAAATATACTTACATACATATGTATGTATGTATAAAATAATATACTTACATACATATGTATGTATGTACATACACATATACTTTGTAAGGTATGCCCGCTGCACACATTCACATTAAAACAGTATTCCCTTTTACCCCTTGGGAACAGAGTATAAAAAAATAAACAGCAATTTGCTTAATATAATCATATTTGCATGTGCATAAAGAATCGAAATGGTTGTTTAATTCGATGAGTAGTAGTCGTTCGACCGCCTTTGAATATAGATATGACGTTTATTGTTTTATTGTGGCGGTTTGCAACACTGAAACAACACTAATATACATATTTACATTGGGGTATCGATGCTTAGTTTACGCGCATATTTCCGTCGACTGGGCTACGTTCAACGTCAAATGTCGATTACAATTTACTGTGTTTTTATGCCAAATTGTTAATGTCGGAAGAAATCACAGCAAACGACGTAAAAAACAGAAAATAACATTTATTTCTATAGTTCGTTCGTGACAAATTCAACCGATGGTCGCAAATCGCGGCACGGACTTTGGTAAGTGGCCATTCATTCGACAGCTGAACGCAACCGAATATTCTGACGGAAGTTATTTCACGCGCAAAACACTTTTTGCTTGCGCGCTGATATTATTTTGTATTTAGTGGCAACTATTTGAGGTTGCAGTTAACGCACGAGTTGTGCAGACGTCCATTGGATTAAAACTGTGAGCGTTGCGTCGAACGTTTTTGTCAGCAAAGGGCAGCCACCAACAACAACAAGAACTACACTTGGAGTGGGGAACGTGAACGTAGCAGAAGAAGTCACTCAGCCACGATCGCACAACACACATCTAACAGCAAACAACACACACTACACACAAACACACACATATATATACATAAATACATAGACACACACTAGAGCAGCAAACGAGACGTATATTGCGAAAAATATCGCATCAGTTGCATTGCCAGTCTTGGCTTGCATTCGCTACTGTCGTCGTCGTCGTCATTGTAATTGTAGTTGTGGGTTCCAAAATACTTCACCCGCAACGTCATGAGCGTTGACACGTACGCGCCGAGCTCGGCGCTCTCCTTCCTGGATATGGATGACAGCGAACTGCTGCGTGGAGCGGACACGCAGCCAACACAATATGATTTTCGTGACTTTACCATGCCGTCCACGCCGCAAAGCCAGACACAGAGCGAGCAACTGGAGGTGCAGGTAAGTCGTCTGCCTTTTAATAAACCTGATTGGTAGATTATTTTCGAAAATCTGTTGCAGACGCGTCGCAGCACAGCTGTGAGCAGCAATGCAAACGATATACATCCTCGACTGGTTTCCATCACCAACGATCTAGCCGATCTGCAGTTCGAAGAGGAGGACGAGGATGCTGGCTCGTCGTTTGTTAAGGAGCTGCCACCGCATGCCTGCAAATACTGTGGCATACACGATCCGGCCACGGTGGTGATGTGCAATAATTGCAAGAAGTGGTTCTGCAATGGACGCGGCAGCACCTCTGGCTCGCATATCATCAACCATCTGGTGCGTGCCAAGCATCGTGAGGTCACACTACATGGTGACGGACCGCTGGGCGAAACCATACTGGAATGCTATTCGTGTGGTGTCCGCAACGTTTTTGTGTTGGGCTTCATACCGGCGAAGGCGGACTCTGTGGTGGTGCTGTTGTGCCGGCAGCCGTGCGCCGCTCAAAACTCGCTCAAAGACATGAACTGGGATCAGGACCAGTGGAAGCCTCTGATTGCCGATCGCTGCTTCCTACCCTGGCTGGTTAAGCAGCCCAGCGAGCAGGGACAGCTGCGAGCGCGTCAGATATCTGCGGCGCAAATCAACAAGCTGGAGGAGCTATGGAAAGACAACATCGAAGCGACATTCCAGGATCTGGAGAAGCCGGGCATTGATTCCGAACCGGCGCAGGTATTGCTGCGATACGAGGATGGCTATCAGTATGAGAAAACGTTTGGGCCGCTCGTCCGGCTCGAGGCCGAGTACGACAAGAAGTTGAAGGAGTCGGCAACGCAGGACAACATTGAGGTGCGCTGGGATGTGGGTCTCAACAAGAAGACCATCGCCTACTTCACGCTGGCCAAGACAGACTCGGACATGAAGCTGATGCACGGTGATGAGCTGCGTCTGCGCTATGTGGGCGAACTCTACAATCCATGGAGCGAGATCGGACATGTGATTAAGGTGCCCGATAACTTTGGCGACGACGTGGGTCTCGAGCTGAAGACATCCTCGAATGCGCCCGTCAAATGCACGAGCAATTTCACCGTCGACTTCATCTGGAAGTGCACCTCCTTTGATCGGATGACGCGCGCCCTCCATCGCTTCGCCATTGACAGGAATTCGGTGTCGAATTACATATACTCGCGTCTTCTCGGCCACGGCCGTACCGATGGCACCGACGAGGTGCTCTTCCGGGGCCCCCAACCGAAGATGTATAGTGCGCCGCATTTGCCCGATCTGAATCGCTCGCAGGTATATGCGGTGAAGCATGCGCTGCAGCGGCCATTGAGCCTCATTCAGGGCCCGCCCGGCACCGGCAAGACCGTCACCTCGGCCACCATTGTCTACCAGCTAGTGAAGCAACACGGCGGCACAGTTCTGGTGTGTGCGCCCAGCAACACGGCCGTCGATCAACTAACCGAGAAGATCCATCGCACCAATCTGAAGGTGGTGCGTGTCTGTGCCAAGAGCCGTGAGGCCATAGACAGTCCCGTCAGCTTTTTGGCGCTGCATAACCAGATCCGTAACATGGAAACCAACTCGGAGCTGAAAAAACTGCAGCAGCTGAAGGACGAAACTGGCGAGCTTAGCTCAGCGGATGAGAAGAGATATCGTTCGCTGAAGCGCGGCACCGAGAACCAACTTCTCGAAGCGGCCGACGTCATTTGCTGCACCTGTGTGGGTGCTGGAGATATGCGTCTGTCCCGCATCAAGTTCACATCGATTCTTATTGATGAGTCCATGCAGTCCACCGAGCCAGAGTGTATGGTGCCCGTCGTTCTGGGCGCCAAACAACTCATATTAGTTGGCGACCACTGCCAGCTGGGACCGGTGGTTATGTGCAAGAAGGCGGCACGGGCTGGTCTCTCGCAGAGTCTGTTTGAACGACTGGTGGTGCTCGGCATACGTCCCTTTCGACTGGAGGTGCAATATCGCATGCACCCGGAGCTGTCGCAGTTCCCATCCAACTTTTTCTACGAGGGCTCGTTGCAAAACGGCGTCTGTGCCGAGGATCGACGACTAAAGTTGGACTTTCCGTGGCCGCAGCCGGAGCGTCCGATGTTCTTTTTGGTGACCCAGGGGCAGGAGGAGATCGCCGGCTCAGGCACCTCCTTCCTCAATCGCACCGAGGCCGCCAATGTTGAGAAGATAACGACACGGTTCCTCAAGGCCGGCATCAAGCCTGAACAGATCGGCATCATAACGCCATACGAGGGCCAACGCGCCTATCTTGTCCAATATATGCAGTATCAGGGCAGTCTGCATTCGCGGCTATACCAGGAGATCGAGATAGCGAGTGTGGACGCATTTCAGGGACGCGAGAAGGACATCATCATTATGTCCTGCGTGCGCTCTAATGAACGCCAAGGTATCGGCTTTCTCAATGATCCGCGCCGTCTCAATGTCGCGCTGACACGTGCCAAGTACGGCATCATTATTGTGGGCAACCCGAAGGTCCTGTCGAAGCAGCAGTTGTGGAACCATTTGCTCAACTTTTACAAGGACCGTAAAGTGCTGGTAGAGGGATCGCTCAACAATCTAAAGGAGTCGCTCATACACTTCCAGAAGCCGAAAAAGCTGATCAACACCATGAATATTGGCGCCCACTTCATGTCTACAATGGTGGCCGATGCCAAGGAAGTTATGGTGCCGGGCTCCGTCTATGAGCGCAGCAGCGGCTACAGCCGTTTTAATAGTGGCGGCGGCGCCGCACTCTCCGGCCCTGGACATGGCCTTAACAACGGCACTCCCTATGGCGCTCCTTATGGCACCTCCAATTTAAGTTATGGTGCCTCAGCGGGCACTAATAGTGGCGGCGGTTATGGCTCTTATGGCTCCGGTTATAGCGGCAACGGCGGCGGCAACAACAACTACTCTCCAGCTGGCGGCTCCAACAGTGGCAACTGGACCGCTGGCCATTTGCATCACGACTCCATCGGTTACATATCCAACGAGCATAGCGCCGCCGCCATGACCAACATGCCCGTGCCCGTCGGCATGTTCATGAATATGAGCAATTTGCCGCCTCGTTTCTATAATCAGCATCAGCAGGCGATAATGGCTGCCAAGCAGAATCGTGCCATGCATCAGCAGCCGGGCTTTGGACCAGCCCTAGTGGGCGCTGGCAGCATTACTGCCTCCTCGACCAACAAGAAGAACAGCAAATCGTCGAAGTCGAGCGCCCGCAGCAACGCCAATGCTGCTTCCTCATCGGCCAACACAAACACCAACTCGAACGCTAATACGAACGCCAGTGTCAGCGCTGCTCCTTTCAGTCAACAGCCCGGCTCCCTGTCCCTGCAGATGACACAGCCGAGCGGCTTTGTATTGTCGCAGCAGCCTGAATTGTCGCAGGACTTTGGTCAAATATCGCAAATGGATGGCCTACTCTCGCAGGATGTTGCATTCAATGTCGTAAGTACTATTTTATGCGCTCTACACACCCGACACGTAGTCGTCTACTAGGAATTCGAAACGCCTAGTGTATGTAAAAAGCCTAGATAGTCGTTGTACATCTTCAACGAGACGAATCGATGTAGACGAATGTCCGTTTGTTCATTTGTCCCTTTGCCCCACTCTATGAACTCTTCAATTATAAATGCTGGGGCCATAACAAGTATATTAATAAAAACCAGTCTAATTATTTTATATAGCTGCCATAGGGACGATCGGGGCAGAAACCACTCCTAGCAGGACTAGTTGTTTGTTTGTGAAGACGTCATAACTTAATTTGGTATTCATTTATTTGTTGCAAAAGTTACTCTGTAACTTTTGCTTATGGAGATATTTTAGTTAATTTAGTATTTATATGATCAGCAAACCCATCGATATAGAACGGTTTCTCCGTTTATCCACCCGTCCGCTCTCGTGTGCGACTGTATGAACCTCGAGAACTTTTGAGCCATAAGGGCAATACACACCATACCATATTTATCCGCAAGATTGTTAAAACCATAAATTTGTATAATGACTTACAATAATCAGAATTTTTGTATTCAAGAGTCGGGCAGGCTCGACTTTCACGTTCTACTCGCTTGACAATTTATTAAAATCTTTTTGAATTGCTTTTTAGACCGGCGAGCGCAGCTTGAACCCGTTTTCACAACCCTATTGAAAAGGCTGAGGCGGCGCGGCACACAACATGCAAACATTTTTGAAAACAAGAACAAGAAAGAACGCAAGAAAGATAGAAAAACCACAACAAACAACAACAAACCAACAACACACACAAACGAAACATTGAATATGAACGCAACTTTAAGAAGTCAGCAGCAACAGGAGCAACAAACAAATACATGTATAGAAAGCAACAACAATGAGGATGATAAGGAGAAGAGGATAAGAGCGGGAAACATCAACTTGACGACTGCAATATATATACAAATAAAGTGTATGAAAGAAATAAGGTGTGCGCCAGCCACACTCTCAAGGTGAAGATGGAATGGCGATCGATCTGTAGATGGAAATATAGTTGGAACAGCCATCCATCCACCGTTGTCGCTCAGCAGTCAGTGAGACACAAATGGAATACAAAACATAGCCAGCCAGCCAACAAGATGATGCAGCGGCAGCAACAGCAGCCGATTAAGAACCTATCGATCTTATATGCATGCCGGGAGAATAGTAAACAGGAACAGGACAGGAACTGAAACACTATCCGTTTTCGTGAGCTGCTGTTGAGCTGGAGCTGCAATTTTCGATGCTCGGATGCGGGGGCACAAATGCATTTCGAAAATGTCCAGCGGCCGTCGAAGGGACGAAGGGAGCATCGTAGCTGTGTGTTGGCCATTTGCCGAACCGGTCAAACCGGCGGCCAATTGGTGGCGAAGCGAACAGAGAGAGCCGTTGAAATTGCAGGAAGAAGCGAACAACAACCAACAGCCACTAGTTGTTGTTGTGTTGGTTTTTGATTTTAATTTTTAAAATAACCTTTTCGTTTCGTAAACAAATGTATATGTATTCTATTTTTTCTACCCAGCCTTAAGAGCCGAGCCCTCCAGCACACCCCAAAATAAAAAACAAAAACAAAAACGAAAAAACAACAAGAAAACCAACCTCCTGTTAATTTACACTCGAAAACAAAACCACAAAACTGTTTTACATACATCTATTGTATTTTGGAACGTTGCTTTACACAATTTATAAAGAAATTTATGCCTGAAAAGAGAGAGAGTGCGGGAAGAAGAAAGAAAAGAAGCGAGGTTGCCAAACAATGTGTGTGCCACAAATAAATTGCTTGAGAAAATGTTGTTTTTCAAATTAAAAATGAATGCATCAAACACTAGAAGTTACCCACAAACACATACACACAAACACACACACACACATACATAAGGCAACAGAAAATGGAAAAATTGTTAAATAAAACAAAACCGATGTGATTTAATTTTTGTTTTCTCTTCGCGCAAACACAAGTGGAGTATGTTAATTGTTTAAAACAGAAGCGGAAGTGGAAGCGGAAACAGAAGCGAAGCAAACGGTATATTTTTTCTATGTGATTTTCCCCCCAAAACTTTTGCAACATTTCAAAAGAATTCTGAAATAAAGAATTACATTATTTTGTTTTTGCTAAAATGTGTAGTTTTTATTTTTAAAATAAATATTTCAAGCCCACCAGAAAATAGAGTGGATGCATTTCAGGGTGCAATTGCTTTATAATGAAAGCGGAAATAGAATCAAAAGAAATATGTTATAAATATTTTCTAAAGAATTCTGATGGTTTCTAACTAAACACAAAAAATATTCACTATATTTGGATGGTAATTGAAGCAACTGTATACGTTTAGTTACAAAAACAATCGATCATCTTTTAAATTTTTCAGAATCAAAATCATCTTTCTTCGAAGGTGATTTCACAAAAATCGGTATGATATGATAACGCTTTTAACATTTCCAACTTTCTATAAAAATCCGCTTTGGTTTAGTTACGAAAAACAATCGATCATCTTTTATATCATCTTTCTTTGAAGGTGACTTCATTGAAATCGGTATGATATGATAAAGCTTTTAATATTTCCAACTTTCTATAAAAATCCGCTTTGGAGATAACATAAATCTAAATCTTCTTAGCACTTCAAATTCTCCATTGCTTTATTCGAGTTGATATCAGAGCCATTTATGATCTTTTTAACTCACCATGAGAATTGCGATAATGTCACAGAAATCAGTGAACCTTTTAACACTCCGATCTCTTAATAAAAATCGGTTTCATTCGACATAACATCGCAGAAATTGATCAGCGTTTTGAAATTCTAAGAAAAAAGTTCAACCTTCTTTCACAAAAATCTACCACGAAAATCCCCTTCCTTTGATATGATTTCACAAAAATGTACATGGAAAAGCGTCCTTTCAGAATTCTTAGATATTTCCATCGCGTTCTTTCGAGATGACTCCATAAAATTTGTAGTTCTTTTGAACTTTACACAAAAATGTACCCTTTATTACGAAATGATATCACAGATGTGTTCAAATTTATTTTTAATTCAATAAACATAATCCCGACTTGTTGCCATCAGTACTACAGTACTAAATTGAGAGATGAAGAAAAACGCATACTTTTTGTACGAATATGTATTTCTTTTTTATTTGGGTGTGATTTTACAATGCTTTTTTCAATTACATGAATACTCGAAGGCTGATACATCTTTTGCGGGGAAAATAAATTCACATAAATATATAGTATTATAAAAAAGCAAATACAACTTTAAAATGATATTGTGGATGTTTACAAAAAATTGAAGAGGAAACATGATCATCAAACATTCCGATGATATAATATATAAATTGTTGAACTTTAGACGAACTTATTCAAATCCAACTTAGTGGTGTGGTTCCAAATGTTAAATTTGAATTTACATACTTAGCTTTGGGTGCCATTTCATGGACTTTACATAAATGGGTATTTCAATAGCTGGGTGAAAATGAATTTAAAGTGCTCTCTCACGGATTGCCCGCACCCTTTTTAGTTGTTGAAAATATATGTGTTTGTATAATATTTGGTTTACTCTATAAAATTTGGAATTATTAACATATTGCATAGCCAAAGTCCTTCTGATTTCTTATAGATCGCTCGCATAAACAGCATTTACCAGCCTAATGATAAGTTCGAGTATATAAATAGTTAATAATGAGATCGCATTTTTTATCACATTTATGGACGGATTAAAGACAACATAAAAATATATATATATATACCTATAGCACAAGATGGAAGTTAGGGTGTTAATACTAGGGGTTCACGATTACGCACATTTACGAAATACTTTTTCTCTCGCACGACATTTACCGAAATTTACGGACATTTCACAGGCACGCACACATATCTTATAGTTCTATTTTTAAAACCGCTATTTCGAACTTTAGCACTTTTATCGTTGTCGATTTTAAAATATAGCTTGAGTTGGTCGTCCAAAAATACACATCTGGGTAGTAGATTTTATGGAACTCATACTACTCATACTATATTTTTGTGTTCAATTTGAGGAACTTCTCTGCTCTGGCTACGTTTACAATAAATTAGTAGAAACTGTATTAATTACGATAATATAATTTAGAGAATTACACATAATTCATATTTGATTAAAACATTTTCTAATTAATACTTTTTTTCAATTTTCTTTTTGGCATATTTTAGTGAACTCACGAATTGCACAAAAATTTCACTAAATCCTTTGTTTTCACTAAATTCACATAATTTTCCACTCTTTTATGGTACAGTCACGCACTAATGCACAACATTAAATCTCGGCTTTTGATTGATAAAAAAACCCACTTAAAACCACTATATTCCACAAAACATACCAAAATACAGAATATTATACTACAAAAGTATGGTAAAAACACACACACAAACCTCTGGGCCAGTAGTTCTTCATAGAGACATCGGTGTTGCGATTATTGTTGGTATAAAGGATCTTAGCTGCTCTCAGGCAACATGCGACGCCGCTGGCGGGTGGCTTCCTAGTGGTGTGCTTCCCATTTTTCCGCCAATACCATCATAATTTTGCATGAAAAATGTCTGTTGTTGCTTCCGTTGTGTTGGATGGTGGTATTGATGCAGTGGAGGGCGCGAGATAGGATCTATGGGTGCGAATATGGCATTGAGATTCAGCGAGTGCTCCAAACGTCGAGCCGAGGCTGCAAAAACACTCTTCACGCGCTCAAACGTAGCGAAATCGTAAACCGAACGTGCAGTATTCGACAGATCGAAGGGCTCTGCAGAAAGCGGTTTGTTCATAAGAATGTACAGATATCAGGCAGGCTCTGCCTACAGTTTGATTTACCCTCAATGTTCAGCTCCTTCCACTGATGCGCATCGTTCTTGTAGCTCTTGGCCATGCGACAGACGGCCACAGGCAGCACTCCACCGGTGCGTACGGATATCGCATAGTTTCGAAAACTGTACGGTAAAGAGTCGTATAAATATATATGTATATAGTTCATCGATGCTTAAATGCATACTCGAAATTGCTGTAGTATTTGAAAAAGCCCAACAAATGCTCTCCCAGAGTCTGGGTGTTGTGCGTAGCATACGTTTCGATGGGCTCGATGAGGTCCAAATCTACGCAGTCCTGCTGCCCCAAATTGAACTTTTCCGGATAGAGGGCATGCAGGCAGGGCAGGACGTGCGGCACACAGCCGTACTGCAGATAATGGAGCACCATTAGGACCAACGAATAGCTTGATATCGTCATACGTTTGGCATCATTGATGTCATGGTACTGGGCCCAAAGTTTCACAATTACGACTAGAGGACGCGTTCGCCAATCCACTGTGGCAGACAATATATACATAAGTATATACATACAGGTATATCGGTGTACATGCTATACGCTATATAATATTACTTACACTGCGCATACAATTGCAGCAAATAGGTGTTCTTGATGCCAACACAGTTGTTGTAATTGAGATCGACTTCGATGCCGTTGAAACCGTCCTTGAAGCGAAGGATCGGCACACGCGCCTCAATTAGATTGAATTCCTGAAATATTTCTACAGATAGGCGGTTGGAAACAACTATTATTTTGTATGTACATATATCCAATAGGGAGCTATGGAATGATTGCAGCAACGTACCCGTCTCCTTCAATACTTCGTGGAACAGGTTCAGGATAATTAACGCCTCGGTGCGTTGCTCGTTATGGTAATGGTACTGATGTGGGGCCGGTTGCTGGGGCTGTTGTTGGGGCAGGAGACACATATCGATATCGGAGGAGTCGGTGCCAAATCCGGTTATTGTCGAGCCAACTAAACAGATGCGGAACCTCGAGAACATTGGCTGCTGCAATGGATGCACCCCTTTCTATGGTCAGGTAGATATATAAACATTCTAAGCTCAACACCTACGTTAATCCAGAGGCAGAGATGACGCCACAGACGCATCTTCAACTTGAACATCTTGTGCGTCTGCTGTGCGGAGCGAAAACGTTTCCAAATATCCACAGACAGTCCATCATATTTACAGTTCCGCACCAAATGCTCCGGCTGCGCTGTCAGTTCCACGTTACGTGCCTGTACCAAGTACCGATCCGGTGGCAGCATCGTCTCGTACCAGCCGGCGAGGGGCATGTTGCTTGAAGATGCCATCGAAGATATCGACGCATTCGATCCATTCGAGTTCGAGCCGCAGCCGCAGTTGTTGCCGCAATAGTGCGGGTGGTAGTTATGTCCACCAGCGCCCAAAAGTGGTGGCGGCCCATACGAAGATTGTTGTTGTGGTTGCGGTGGTGGCGCCTGTAACTGTGCTTGTGGCATTCCATGCATTCCACTCATCCCAGCCAATTGTGGTGACAACTGTGGCTGCGGCAGCGCCTGATGCTGAGGCGAGGGTGTGCTGCTCGAGGATGCCATCGTAGGCGACAACAGATCCATATAGGGCTGCGGCTGAAGCTGGTGGTGCGACTGATGTTGCGGCGGATGACGCTGCATTGTTGGAGCCATCAAGCTGTTTTCGAATTAAAAGCGAAATTATAACAAGTTCGCGTTCTTTGCTCGGCGCGCAAAGCCCTTGCAGATCAAATTCTACGCTCTTTAATAACAAATAAAGATATATGATATATTGTAAAATCGGGTGTCCCGACTTTGAAACTCTCTGCAGATATGTATAGAAAATTAAAAAAAAAAAAAAATCGAAAAACGTAGCGAAATTTCAATATTACACGAAGAAGACGGAGGAGTGAGCGAAATTCCGAAATGTGAATTCCAAAATACCAATTTCTGCGTATTCACATAAGACATCTTGGAGTACAAATTGGTGTCTCTAGCTCTTATACTTGTAGTCTCCGTGAGGTATTAAAAAATAAAACAAACTAGAATAGCCTACACATATAGGGCATCTGTGTACACAATTTGGTGTCTCCATCTCTTATAGTCTCTGAAATCCAGGTGTTCATATGGACGGACGTCGTTCGGAAAATATGATGAGATGAGGCGCTGTAGCCATATAGCATAAAAGGTCAGATATACTTTCTTCTGGCTGTTACACAAACATCCATAAACCTAATATACTCATGTACCCTTTGGCTACAAGACATAAAAAGAAATGGAGTCTGGAAAGCTTTCTTTCTCTCTCTCTATATATAATAGTACATTGCAACAGAAGTTCAAATTTTCAAACATACCGATTGCGATTGCTCCAATGTGGTTCACTGAGCGAGGCCAGCGAGCAGTCGGACGATGCGGGAGATATCGAACTACGCGCGGAACTATCACGCAGTTCCACCTGATTCGGATTAAGATTTTGATGGTGGTTGTGACTGTGGGGCGATGCGCCGAGAGCAGCGAAAGGCGTCTGATAGCACGGCGAGGAGACATGATTCCAGATCGCTGCCGTCGCCGTCGGATAACTATCGGGAAAGCCAAAGATCAGTTGCTGTTGTTGCTGCGGCTGCTGCTGTTGATGGCCGATTGGAGTTGCGGGCAACAGCTGCGACTTAATATTGTTTTGTGACTCCACAGAGACGGGCTGCAGCATTAGCGGCACAGCAGCATAGGTGGGACTCTGCAGCGCAACAACAGTGGCTGCAGCGAGCGGTAACTCTGCTGCTGCTGCTGTAGCATCACTAGCTGCTGCAGCGGTAATCGCCTCGTCCAGCTGGGCACATCTAATCATGTTGGCGGGTGTGGTTGGCGACAGAACGGCAGCATCTCCCGCACCACCGACCTCGGGCGACATTATGACGCGACTCAGTATGGCGGCGTTGTATTGCAATGTGTTTGGCGGCGGCACAAACATGCCGACACCATTCGGCTGTGGCGTTATTGGCTTCGTCAGCGTGATGGCCGGTGTTAGGAGCAATGCTGCCGTCTGTTTGTTGGCCACACCTGTCATTGTCAAGGCCACAGGCTCTCCTCCTCCTCCTCCATCCACTCCACCAGCAGCAGCGGTGGCTGTTGCTGTCGTCTCAACCTGCTGTGGTGAGGCCGTGAGGTGCGTTGCTGTTGGCAGTTGCGGTTGCGGTTGCGAGTCCGTTACATCGACCTTGACGTAGGTCAGGTTGTAGAAATTCTGATGATGTGCCGTCGTAACGGGCCCGCTGGTGGCCAACATTAATGGATGATGCCCATTATGATTAAAATTGTTGGAATAGTTGTTCTTCAGGCGTCTATTGAAGTTGTTTGAAGTTGTCGCTGCCGCCGAAGCACTGGATGTTGTTGCTATCGTTGAGGTTGGGGTGCCGACAGACAAGATTTGTGCTCCTCCTACGTTGCCACTGCCACTTCCACAACCACTTCCATTTGCATTTGCATTTACGGCAATGCTGTAGCCGAAATGCATCTTCTTTCCGATTCCGATGCTGTTATTATTGTTGTTGTTGTGCTTGCGACGATAATTAGCATGTTGCTGATGCATCTGCTGCTGCTGGTGTTGCTGGCAGCTGTGGCTGTTGTTCTGGCTGTGGTTGTTGTTGTGACTATAGCTGCCACCAATATAATGTGCATTTCCGTAACGTTGATATTGTCCCTGTTGCTGCTGCTGCTGCTGGCGTGAATAGTTGTTACCGCTGTGCCTGTTATTGCCAGCGCTATGACGGTTGTTGCTGCTGCTCTGCTCGCTGGCAATCTCATTGTCAGGCAGCAGTTCCTTTTGCAGAAAGGACGCAATTGTCAACTGCTTTGGCTGTGGATAAGAATTTTGATAGTAATGCGACTGCTGCTGCTGCGGCTGCTGTTGTTGCTGATAGTTCGTGCGCTCCAGCTCTGGACTACGGTGCTTGTATTGCAGGCTACGTTGCGACTGTTTATTGTTGCTGCCTACCTCGATGGTTGTGGGCGTTGTTTTCGACATTCCCGATAAGTTGCTAGTCTCCAATTGTTTGGAGGACAGCGCAGACATATGTTGTTGCTGAAACGAAGTGAGAGAGTTGTGGATGAGGAGGAATTATGAAGGAATTGTCAGTCGACTGCTTACCGTTGTCGTTGTCACATATGCTTGTGGCTTCACATAGACTTGATCGCTGGTGTTCCAAAAGCACAGCGATTGCTGGCGAGGTACCTGTTTCTCATTGCAGTTGCTGGTGCCGTTTTGCAGTTTCGATTGCGGCATTGGTATTAGCTGATCTATGACTGCTGAATAACACGATTCTGCGCCAATATGGGCGAGCGCGTTTGGACTTGTTGAAGCTGTGCTCGCGATTGTCGCTTTCTCCGTGCCAACCGCGGAGGACTCTGAACAGCTGCGATAATACGACGACTCCATTGAGGAGGATGAGGACAGCGCATTGCGCTTTTTGTGGTTTTTCGACGTTTTTGTTGTTAATTTGATGCCCGAGTGATTGTTGTTGTCGTTGTTGTTGGCATCATTTGTTTGAATATTTTGATTTTTCATCAAAACGCTGTTGTTGTTGGTGGTGGTGGTAATGGTTGTTGTTGAAGCTGCCGAAATATGTTGCTGCTGTTGAAAATAATGCGGCGACTGCAGATTGGAGTCGTTGCCGCTGTTCTTACGCACTATGGAGTGGTTGTTGCCACCAAAGAGTTGTTGCTGTTGTTGTTGGCGCTTGTTGCCGGTATGATTATGAAACTTGACCGACTGTCGCAGCAGATTCGCCGACTTGTTACTCATTTCATTGGCATTATTGTATTTGGCAGACGTATTATTGCTCACATTCTGCTGTTTCGTTTGCTGCACCAGCACTGTTTGGCTCGGCATGGCAGCAGTTGCGGCAAAACATTGCCTGAATTTCCGCTGCTGTTGCTGCTGCCGTTGTTGCTGTTGCATCCCTGTGGATGTGGCTGTGATGCTCTCATCAGATGACGGAGCATCAATGTTGGTGGCAAATATCTTCATGTCTGCTCTACTCGCTGTGTACATAACTCTTTGTTGATTCTGCTGTTCTGGCCTTTCCTCGCTGCTTCTTTGCTGCTTTTGAGCGTTTGTTTTAGTTCCTACTTAGTGTTTAAGACTAAATATTTTTTGTTAGGCTTTTTGATGTTTAAATTTTTTTTAAATGTTTTTTTTTCTTTTTTCTTTTTACTGAATATTTGTAGTTTTGCTTAATAATTATGATTCAATGGGTTTTCAATACAATTTCTCCCACCGAGTTCGATTATTATTTCTCTGATTTCGCTTTTGAAATTGAATTGAATTTTTGATAGCTGGTGCACTCTTTGTTGTTCTTTCTAACTTTCGCTTAAAATATTATAATGTGTAGTCAGCTCCTTGCCTCGCCGCCGACTAAATACGAAAATATTTAACTTACAGACTGTCACTTAATTACGGCCGCTCTTGTACGAATTTACCGTATTCTTTAACACAAACACAAATTTGTTCGACATTTCACTATACTCGAGTCTCGAGTCGATCTTGATGTGTCCCTCCTTCTTTGGCAGAGCTTTTTCTTTTATGGGGGGTGCGAGTGCGAGAGTGACGGCATTATAAAAACCGTTATAAATCAAGAATGGGCGCAACAAAGTGTACGAGATTAAAAGAAATGGCTTGTTTTTGCTGAAAAAAGTGCTTTTGTTTTTAGCAGCTACAGAGATATTGGAAGAAAATTTTTGGACTCACCATAAATTTCAGCTTAGTTTTAACAGAAATAGAAAAATAAATATATAGCTAATTTCTATTTCACTGGATTCTGCCTCTACAACTGCAAATAATTCTCAACAAAACGGTGCTTCAGCTTGTTGTGCATCCTGCACGGCTCCGTTTTCCTTTTAAACACACAGTGGCACATTTATTAAAACATTTACTTTCGAGTGTGACGCCCTTTTCAAAGATCCCAAACACTTGCTAAACTAAAAACTAAAATTTAAACCGGCGTGCGCAAGGAGCAGATAAGAACTGTTTTTCTCTCTTCTCCTTTTTTTCGGTTTCCTTTGCTAGATCTATGCGCCCACCGGCACTTGACTAATTTGCTTCTTTTTTTTTTTTTTTTTTTGTTATCGATATTCACAAATACATATATACATATACATATGTGTTTGGTTTAGCCTCACAGACTTGACTTGATCGGTCAGTTTATTTCAACAATAAAAGGAACTTAACTTACAGCTTCAAAATTTATTGAACAGCGACTTCCAAAAGAGTCGCGCCGGCAGCATTGAATCGCGTTTTATGCAGCTCGCATGTGTCAGCCTGGAACGGTATTATGGACACAATAATTTTCGTAACAATACTCCCACAATGCTCTGACATTTGCTTCGAATGTTGCTGCAACTAGTGCAATCTGCATATTCATATCTTAACAATATGTTGAAGAAATCATTGTTGCATTGTTTGTTAATATCTAAAGCAAATGCCTGAGCACTCATCAAGCTGACGTTGACTTACTGGAAGTGTGCGCGACGCAGTCTTTCCAAATAGGAGCCTGTGGCAACGGCAGATAGGAAGATTTTACGCGCCACTCGTGGCATTTGCGGCAATAGCTGCCTTGCCAGCTCCAGATGTGTATTTGCCGCACTAGCCACCTCGAAGACACACTCCTCCACAGCCTTGTCGTCGGGCGCGCCTCGTAAAATTCGTTCCTGACTCACGCCATGCCGCACCAACACCTCAAGGGGCACTGCGACCGCCTGCTGTCGTCCAGTGTGTGGTATAGCGCGCAACAGCATCACAATACCTTGCGCCTTGCCCACATGGGAGGCGGCATGGTCCACATTTATGTCCCGTATTCCACTCAGCTCCACCAGCAAATGCATTAGCGAGGCGCAGGTCTGATCCGCGTAATCTTCTAGATCACGCATCACATCGAAGGCCTGGTTAGATGGACGTTCGCGCGCCGTCACTAGCCGACGCAGGTAGACTTTATTAAGCCGCCGCACGCCCACTGTGCGTTGCAGCTCGCGTAGCACAGGCTGGTCCTGCACATATGATTTATTCGTCGCTGGTTCAAAGCATTTATCAATCGAGTCGTACCAGAACTTAAGCCGCATTTTGGTTATTTGAGGCTCGAGGTGCTGCAATGAATATATTGCATATTTATTTCAGTTATTGCAAGCTGGAACCGTGATTTCCCACTCACATGGCCAACAACAGATCGGGAAACTTCGACGTTGAAGGCGCGCAGTGCAAATGCCGCTTGTCGGAGCTCCTGGGGCAGCAACAACGTACTCAGGTAGTTCTCATAGTCGTATTTTCTGTAAATATTAGCCATTAATGTCGCCGGAACGAGCAGAGATTATTTCCCCACTTACTCCACAAGACCCATGCAATATTTCGTTGCGAAAGCATCGCCGTTTTCCGCCGGGGATTTCTGCGCAGGCTGCCGCTCTTTTCCTGGTTGCACATTAGCGTCCACTCCTCCACTTGCATGTCGTTCTAAGCATTTTATTATTATACTATTTTTGTTGGATAACAGTCTGCCGCCATTTTCCCAATTACTTAGTAAACGCCGCATTTGTACTCTTGAGGGATGTGCATAACATCGATGTATCGAGCAACCACAATGTTATTAAAACGATGCATGCATGTTTTCCGATGTTGTTTTGTTTGCGATGAGTCGCTCAAACATGGAACATTTTCATGTATTGTGAGACGGTCGCATCACACAGAAAAATCTATGCTCTACCGGTATAGGTAATTTTGATCATACTGTTTTTTTGTTTGTTTTCATTAAATTATGAATTTTAAGGTATATATTTCGTATTGTTACACATGTTATCTGTGGAAAAGTTTGTGTGTATATTTCTTTGCTTAAAAAGTATGCGTACAGCCACACTTAATTTCTGATTTGCATAAATGTTGAATTCCCCCCTTTTTATCTAATTTTTCGAAACATCGACGACGCATGGTTTTTTTTTTAACCATCGAAATTGATGTATTCACTGCGACTTACATCCCTAGTACTCTCTCAGCTGAGTATTTAGATCGCGTAAATGTTATCGATAACAAATCACATGTTCTCACACAAGTTGGGACAGCGCAATAAGCTGATCATAATGGAAAAATGCTTACTCTGTACATGAAATGTACCAGAGTATACACATAATTGGTTCCAAAAAGAACCGTGTAAAAAGACATTGATCATCTCTAAAAAAAATATGCACTTGTACATACAATGTATACCAATTTTTAATTTTCAAAATCGTGTAAAAAAGTACCATGTAAAAACAGAATTAGGTGTATAAGGTTTGCGCGAGCTTAAAAGTGTAACATGCAGAAGAAGGACGTAGACCCCACAAATTATGTATATATATTATTGATCAGCATAACAAGACGAGTCAATCTAGCCCTGTCTGTGTTGTTTGTCCGTATGAACACCTGGATCTCAGAGGCTAGAAGAGCTAGAGACTCCAAATTTTGCACAAAGATGCCTTATGTGTGTACGCTGTGCAAGTTTGTTTTATTTTTTGTAAGTCCGTATGCCAAGTTTCATTATGATAGGCCAATTTAGCAGGATGTTACATACATATATCATCATCATCATCACAGACACACACATAGACACGCATAATTATTCTACATATGTATATGTACAGAGTATTTCAAAGTTGGGACAGCCCATTTTAGCTTCTCCACTTGTTTTATATTGCATATGTATGTACATATATATTTGTTCAATAAAAAAGTTGCTTACATTTGTATATAAGTATTAGGCATACGTAAGATTCACTATACCGATTCGAGGTATGTATAAACAATTTGAAAAGTAGTACAAATAAAAATCCAAAAGGAAACTTATTAATTTAAATTATACAACTATGATTTGATGTAGCGCCCATATTCCCCAAGTCCAAATAAAATGTTCGACAACACTCCACTTCGGGTAGAGTTTATGAGTGTTGCGTCATAAGTGCAAAATATGCGATAAAATAGGGCTTGAAAATATGAAATTCATGTGTCCAGGCATCATGGCTCGTGGACACTACCACTAAGATCATCCACCTGCGTTACAACTCAAGCTCATTTGTTGTGGTATACGTCCTATGCGTCTGTTAGGTCTAGGGCCGCCGCCGCCGCCCCCACTGCCTCCTCCACCGCCGCCTCCGCCGCCACCTCCTCCACCACCCCAGCCATTTCCCCAACCATTGCTACGGCGATTGTCCCGGTTTTGGCCGTTGGGATTATTAAACGGTGCTATCAGCGTCTGAAAGCTGCATAAGCATGTTAATGATAAACATAATCTGTATAGCAATCCGAAATTATACTTACAACTGAATAATTAGGAACCACAATGCAATAAATATGTCTTTGAAGCGCTGCAAGTCCCAAGGACGTTTCTCCCACACGCGCCCATCTACATAATACGATTGAGAGTTGGACAAAACACAAAACAAATGTCTATTTCATATACTTACTTCGGTCTATATAGACCATTTTCTACAGTTAAGATGCTTGCGGCTCAACTAAATGTGTTGTTTATGAGTATTAAACATTATTGTTATTGACTATTCAAGCTCATTGGCTTGTCAAAATACAATAATGACGTGTCTAAATAATTCCGATAGCTAGTGCTATCGACTAGAAATCGCTTTAAGCGAACAGCTGCTGTTGCCGACGGTATTTTCCAACACTGCAGTGAATTGTTGACTACTGCTGGAATACTCACTACACCTGCGTATGTGCCGGTCTCATCCGCGTAATCGTATTACTAGTATGAATTAATTCAATGTCGGATCGTGGAGCCATACAACTAATAGTGTAAATACCAAACATGAACAAGTGTATATAGATTGGTGTATTCATACGAGACGTAAACATTTGTAGTGTAGAGTCCAGAGCTAACTGTTTCTAGTATTCAACAACAGTGGTACAAAACAACAACTGCGGGCGGAAAGTTAAGCTAGAATAGAAACAAAAACGTGGGCGGCACATGGTGAGACATTAAGGTGGGGGACCAATTGGTTAACGACTCGCACTAATGCGTTCTAAATAAAAAATTCAGTTGTACAAACCAGCAATGCAACTAACTCTTAATGCCATGCCATATCTGCACACCTACATACGTGCATACATACATACATATGTAAATATTTATATGCTACTGTGCACACATAAATATTGGCATACACATATGTACATATTTATGTATATGATACGTATGTTTGTATGCACATGTGTGTGTAAATTTTTGGAATATAAATTAGTCATAGAGGCGGTTACAGTTCGATAGAATAACACAACAACGAAAGGGGAACTCAATTAAGGTGCCAATATTAACTTTGCTTCTTTCCCCAAAAATGTGTGCCTAAAGCACGTAATGCGTATATGTATATACATATATGTAGATTGGTATGTATGTATGAGTTATTTTATCATTCTCGCTTTGGTGAACATACATGCATACTATATAAACAAATCTCAAGGTTCAGAGTGCGGCCAGCATTAGTATTTTATTAAAATTTGAACACACATGTACGTTTAACGAAAATTAAATATTAAATATTAAAGTGGCGCATTCGACTTACGAGCAAATAACAGATATTTGCATTAATTTCACCTAAACAAATGCCTACATATATGCATATAAAAATTTCCATATGTTAAAATAAAACATGACCTAATCGTTGACTTCGATGAAAGCAGAAACCCATTACTGATTCAAAACCGATTCGTTGATCTACATACATATGTACATCTAAGTATTTACTATATATGTATATGTATCTACACAGTTCAGTTTATGCAAAATGTATCTATATACATATGTATATATAAGTTATAGAAGAAGCATTTATTGAAACAATTGTGTGTGCGTTTGAGTGCCTCGGTCTATTTACCGTCAAAAGTATAGGGACTGGCGTTCTGATAAGAAAGCTGGGATCCTATAAGCTGCCACCAGATCGCTTAAGCATTACGCAAACGCTTTCTATTTCTACTTCATTCACTATCTACTACCAGTACCCATGGTAGTCAAATGCCCTTGCACTTGCTACTTACTCTACTTTACTGCAGGGTAATCGATTGGCTCTTACAATAATTTATTTTCTAATGTTATCTCATTCAAAAATCTCTAGCGAAGTAACTACTTATGGGTAGCTAGTTTAGAATGTATTAAATGGTTACTAGCATCCGCAAAAATTCGCCAGTCGAAAACATGGGACTTTTCATTCACTAGCTAGCTCTTACTGATGGGTTTACTTAAGATCTGTATTAATGCGTTTATTTTGTAGCTTTATACTTTGGCGCAATTCTGCTTCAGTAGACGTAGTGCGTTGATTTTTGTCCATAAGCCGTTAGGCTGCTATCAGAAGCGACGAATATTAATAACTTTGCAATCGCTACAACGCCTCAGTCCTAATCTTGTAATGATGGAAACAATAACAAATTTGTTCAACAAACACGCCAATAGCAGCTTTTGGTAAACGTATTGGTATTGGTACGCATTGGAAAAAGTCTGCATAGTATATATACTTTGGCCAACTTTGCATTGTGATGCCGTAAGATCTTCATGTTAGAGTTACGAAATGTTTCGGTGCTTCAACACTCTGCTAGCTTCATGCGCTTACTAAATTGATCATCTTTTCAGGCTCGCTTACCACAGGCCCAAGTCCCTTCTCAGCAACGGCTCCTTTTTTTATTTGTCACATCCTTAACCTTTTCTACTTACAGCCGATATGTATTCTGCGGGTAAATAAAAACTACATAATATCAATAATAATTAGCAAACAAACGCACCAGCACTAAAGCTTCCTCGCTTTTAATAAGTTTATTTAACTTTTTTTTTTTAAGTTGCTTGTTCAGCAAAACGTTGGTATTATTCGTTGCATTCATCACTACATCTATGTGTACTCATTTTTCGACCTAGAGTAGTTTTTAAATAGAACATTATTGATCTAGATATATCCGTCATTGTGTTCGCATTTGTGCCAAAAACGAGAAGAAAGTACAGTACGGGTATGTTACTTTAGTTCCCTGCTAATCTTCTGTTTAGAAAAACTCGCTCAAATATTTGCACTTAAATGATTGATACTTGAGCCGGTATTGCTCAACGAGCTATTGCGGGTATAAGAAGCATGATATGAAAGGCAAGAGTTCTCATAAAATTTAAAAAATTATCCAACCCAGGCCTGATCTTAAATAAAGAATAATACATAAAAAAAATTCATATAGGTTTAATTTTGTCAGTTTCGATCATTCTATGTACATACTTGTATGTCTGTTTCGGGGGCATTTAAGTTGAAACACTTCCTTTTTGATCTTCAATAGATTAGTAGTACGTTGCAGCTATCAATGCTATTTATAAAAAATTGACTCGATAAACCTCGATCTGGATTTATGAACTTTGCCTAAACTTCAGTCATAAATGTTTTCGTTGAACCCCTAACTACTATCCATCTTTTTGGAAGCTCCGTGTTTTGATTTCGATCTTTTTTAATTGTATTATTGTAGCAGCCTGTGAATACGATAAGAATTCGTCTCATATTGGAAATATTTTGTGGCGTTCGATCGTTATGAGCCCACCTTATTTATTTAATTGTTACTCACATTTCGCACAGCTTGAATTTTGTTGTCGGAATTGGTTGAAAAAGTCGAAAACTGATTCGCTAATATCTCACTCTTCTTTTTCACGCTTTCACGCGGACAGTTCGCACCCACGACTACGACTACTATCCCGAATCGGAAATGGATGAGCGCGAGAGCCTATATTTTGACACGATATCGCTGGCCGAATCGGAGGCTGCCGCCGCGGCCGCACATCGCAAATCACTTTCACAATCCCGCAACACCATCTACCATTCAGCCGTGGATTTGGCCGCTGATGAGGCTCGTCACATGCGTCTCGCCTGGCAGCCGGGCTATAGGCAATCCACTGCCTTGGAGCATCTCAATGGCTTCACCGATCAGACAGATTCCGGACGGATGTCGCTGCAAAATGGGCGCACCAACCACGACTATGGCAGCGGGAATGGCAATCGCAATGGCATTGGCAATGAAAACGCGGACGATGAGGTCTCTAGACGTCTTTTAAGACAAAGTAGCACAGTTTCTAACAAAAATAAGAAATTGCCAATTACATACTCCCAGTGGAAACTTAGGGTAAACAATGAATCCAACATCTTACCAACAGCACAAGTCATTCTTTTACAATGAAATCAAGAAACAAATCCACTCACCGACACCGACGACACATGCTTTATTATAACTAGTACGCTCTCTCTTTCACACACACACACACATACCCAGTCTCCCTCTCTCTCTCTCACTCTCTCCTGCTTTCTTTCTCTCTCTGCAGATATCTGATATGCATCATTAGAAAGATGATCTATTCACATACATATCGCTCACTATTCATTATCGTTCACAATGCATCTGTAATCTGTGATCAGATCGGTGATCAGTGATCTTTCAAAAAATCCCCATCACCATCATCAATATTCGACCTGAAAGTGTGCTATTTGCGCGACCGACCTCAAGATACCAGTTGTTTAATGCACATTTTTTCTCTTTTCTCCAGTTTGCTTGCGGGAATGGGTAATGGCAATTTTTTAGTACATAATACATACAACATTCATATATTTACTTAAACAAATATGGACTAGCTTTCACATATTGTTCTACCAACATTTTGTCTGCATTCATGAAATCCGTTGTCCTCAGAATTCGATCGATTTTTACCTACCTATGTATACCTATATATACACGAGTATATGCCCGTATTTCTTATTTTGCATTCCATAATTTTTGTTTCGTTTGCAGAATCATTTACTTGTTGTAGTTCCAAAAATATTACGTGTAGTATTTGTAAGCACTATCAGTATTTAGTTAATCGTTTAATGAAATTATTTCTATATGGATGTTGGGAGTAAAATGTTTCTTTCTATATATCTATATTTATCTATCTATGTATAAAATGAAAGTCAATCTCTTTGTTTACGTGTCCATTTTAGAGTCTGAAAATTCAATCCACAAGTGGGGTAAAATTTATATTCAAAATTCAAGTCACTCTGTTTTTTTTGGGATAACGGACAAATGGTTTCCCTTGTATTCGAGAAATTTTTGGGGTGAGGGCCAAGTAGTATTGCACACGAAAGTATTATGTAGTTTAAACAAATTTATATACAAGTACATATATGCCTATTATTTGTAAGTAGATGCAAAATTATTGTCCCACTTCATACGGCTTTATCGGAGAATTCCACTCTTATCTTAAGGAAGTGAGAACGCATTGGAAATAACACACGCAATTCCTAAAATCAGAAGGTACAGCTGCATAAATACGCCCCACCCTTTATAAAAAATACCACCAGATAGCACATATAAAATATTAGGATGCAGATTTTTACGTTTAGTGTGCGTTAAGCTTTAAAGGAGGTAACATCTCTTAGACCCATGATCTCCGAAATGTTTATTTCGTGCTATCAGGCGCTGAAGGAAGAGCGCCGTATCAACCAATCTGATACTGAGGAAGGAATTAAAAATTCGAAAGCGGTGAAGGAAGAGCGCAGTATCAACCAATCTGATACCAATACCAACCAATCTGATACTGTTACTACGCAAGGAATTATAAATTCGAAAGTAGTTATGATTGTTATTAAGTATAATTGAAAAATGTCTTTGTACTATAAGCATTCCTAGTACCAATTTTTTTTGTATATGTATGTTTCATATAATACCTTATCCCATTATGAAGCTTGGGAGCTTAACCTTTTTTGTTTGAATAATGAATTTTGAGTGATGTTTCCGTATTTAGTATTCTGCAGCTCTAAAAAATCAGTGCAATGTATCATAGAGTTACCATAGAAATAATAACTTTTATTTAAAGGGTCAGGTAAAGGGGTTCCTTCTTGTTTGCGTTACTTTTCTCGTCTCTTTTATGTATACAATTATACTTTAATTTAGATATGGCAACTAATGCTTAGTTTTCGATGCTATTTATATGTATATATCATTATGTGTTGCCATTATTTTGATTGCTTTGCAGACGTACCGCTTCTTTGAGGATAAGAAGCGGTCGGTCGACTTTGTGTTGGCCTACGACAGCAACAATTGTGGCGGTAGCAAGCCCGTAGTTTACGAGGCGAACATCAAGGGGGATGGCCTACAATTGGAGGAAGACCAGAAGCTTGAGTTGGGACGCAAGGCGAAGGAGGAGGAGAAACGCAAACGGAAGATATTCGAGGCGAATATGAAGCGGGAAGGACTGCAGTTGGAGCTCTGTGGGACGCAGTTCATGCAAAAATTCATTAAGATACATGCGCCGGACCATGTTCTCTATCACTATGCCGAAATACTCAAAATTAAGATGCCAATGAAGCCGATACCGGGCCAAGAGCTGATATTTGATGGCAATTTTGAGTTCAAGACGCGCATCACTCGCATGTTCCGACGCCTCTTCAGCTCCGTGCAACTCAGCACGAAGGACTTTGAGGAGCGTGAGCCGCGAATACATATGGAGTTCGCCCGCAAATATCTGCATTTGTTCGATAAAAACCACCGAAACTTTTTCGACGCCAGCACGCGCTATGCAATAATTAACTTTATAATGCAGCGCCAGCATTTTGTGGAGGGCGAGGAGACGCCGGACAACATTGGGATCGAGAAACTGCTCCAAGATGGCGTCTATTCTTGTGCGTATACGCTACACGAAGTGAGTGGATTGTACCAAGCGTATTGTTTATTTCTCAAAATCTTTCTATTGCAGAAGAGCGATCGAGAAAAATTGTTAAAGGAGTGGGCCAACATACGCAAGTGGCATAAGTGAGTATCCGTATAGATAGATATAGAAGACATCGTCTTGAGGAACGATAAGGTTTACAGTAACATGCAATGGCAATTCAATTTAGACTGCAGCCGCTGGACTATATCAAGGACTACTTTGGAGCTAAGGTCGCCTTATACTTTGCCTGGCTCGGCTTCTATACGCAAATGCTCATTCCGATCAGCATTTTCGGCATATTGTGCATACTATACGGGTTTCTGACCTGGAGCAGCGATTCCATTAGCCACGACATATGTGCGGACAATGGCTCGACAATTATGTGCCCGCAGTGCGATCGCAATTGCAACTTTTGGAAGCTGAGCGATACGTGCACGTCATCGCGTTACAACTATTTGATTGACAATAATGTGACGGTTGTGTTCGCGCTTGTTCTGTCCGTCTGGGCAGTCATCTATTTGGAGTTTTGGAAGCGCTATTCTGCAGGTCTGGTGCATCGTTGGGGCCTTACCGGCTTCACCCATCACGTGGAGCATCCGCGACCCCAATATCTGGCAAAAATTGCGAACTCGAAGCTCGCAAAAAAAGGCACGACGGAAGCCTCACTGGGCGCTCAAACAAGCAGCAACGGTCGAGTACCCTTGGACACCGAGGTGCCTTTCTGGAGCTATAAATTCCTGCCAAACTTCACCAGCTACAGCATCATGGTGCTCTTTGTGAGTATTCCGATTTCGTCCACAATTTGCAGCGAATAATTCTCATTTATCCCTCCGCTAGATTTGCATATCAGTGATAGCTATATTTGCGGTTATAATTTATCGCATGGCGCAGAATGCCTCGCACAGCATATTGGGGAACGAGAACTCGACGACCCACAAGATAATGGTGCTGCCCATAACGGCAGGTATAATCGATTTGGTTGTCATCTCAGTGCTGGATCTGGTCTATTCGAAGCTGGCAATTAGTCTAACCAACTACGAGTACTGCCGCACCCAAACGGAATACGACGAAAGTCTGACCATCAAGAATTATTTGTTCCAGTTTGTCAATTACTACTCCTCGCTCTTCTACATAGCCTTCCTCAAGGGCAAGTTTGTCGGTTATCCTGCCAAATACAATCGCATCCTCGGCTTCCGCCAGGAAGAGTGCAATCCGGGCGGCTGTTTAATGGAGCTCTGCATGCAGCTGGTAATCATTATGGTGGGCAAACAGGCAGTTAATTCCATTGTCGAGATGCTCATACCGTATTTGATACGCAAGTTCCACCGCTTGAACAACTACAAGAACAGTCATAAAGAAAAGGTGGTTGTGTGCAGCCAATGGACAGAGGATTACAATTTAATACCCTTCTCGAATAGTTCACTGTATGAAGAGTATTTGGAAATGGGTAAATATTTGATTCTCCAATGGTTGAAATTAGTCGTAGAGATTCTACATAATTTGTTAATATACTTTGTTAAGACGAATTTCCTCTCAAAAGGGGAAGGGAAGATAATTGTCATTTTAAATGAAAAGATGAATGTCATCTTTGAACGGATGATGATTGTCATCCTAAAAGGGAAGATGATTGTCATCTGAATGAATTATATTGTCATCTAAAAGGGGAAGATGAGTGTTATCTTTAAAGGAAAATTATTGTCATCTCAAAAGTGGAGATAATTGTCATTTAAAAGAGATAATGACTCTCATCGCAAAAGAGAAGATAATTGACATTTCAAAAGAAAAGATGACGGTCGTCTTGAAAGGTCATATGATTGAAAAAGCAAAATTATTGTTATTTTAAACAGTAAGATTGTCATCTCAGTAGAGACAATAATTGCTGTTATTAAGATTAAGATGATGATTATCTCAAACGGAAAGATGATTGTCATCTCAAAAGGAAAGATGGTTAGAAAGATGGTCATCTAAAACAATAGATTCCTTTTATTTATAAGCAGATCAGCACAATAAAAAAGCCCTCGAGATATGAGTGTTAACAACTTTACGTAACGATCTTTTTAATCTTTAGTTGATTAATGAGTTCCTAATCTCTCTTTGCAGTGATGCAGTATGGATTTATAACGCTGTTCAGTATCGCCTTTCCGTTGGCTCCGCTGCTGGCTCTACTTAACAATATAATCGAGGTGCGTCTGGATGCCATTAAGATGTTGCGATTTATGCGAAGACCCGTAGGGATGCGAGCTCACGACATCGGCGTCTGGCACAATATCATGTATGTGGTGACACGTATTGCTGTCGCCTCAAGCGTAAGTATCCATACAATAAAAACAAAGTGAGATGATATTGTTTTAGCGATGACTTTCCACGGCAGGCCATGATAATTGCATTTAGCTCCAACCTTATACCGAAACTAGTTTATAGTATTACGAAGGAGGAAACACCCGATCGCTATTTAAACTTTACGCTCGCGTACTTCAACACCAGCGATTTTGAGATGCCACTCACGCTGAATGCCACCCTAAACATTACGCAGTGTCGTTACACCGAGTTCCGCAATCCACCCGAGCACCAAAATCCATATAAACGGCCCATGATTTACTGGAAAATACTCACCGCTCGCTTGGCTTTTATTGTAATCTATCAGGTAAGCGGCACAACAGACATACTATCAATCCCCTCTATACGCCTTTCTTCATCTTCTCACCCTTCTCGTGTGGATAGAACATCATCGGCATTCTGCAGGGAATACTTCGATGGGCTGTCCCAGACGTGCCGGGCAAGCTGCTGAAGCGCATCAAACGTGAAAACTTTTTGCTGCGCGAACATATAATTGAATTCGAGAAGCAACATGCCGCGCAACTCGCTAAAGAAAACGCTTTACACACACCGGAGCAAGAGTTACGACACCGCCAAGTCCCTGCGGAAGATAGTAACGACCAGGCTACGACTTCTGTTTGAGATTTCATTGAACTTCGTGTTGAATTTAAATATGTCTATTTTTTTAACGTTGTGCCCCATGAGTAGTTGAATATATATACGATTATATGTATATATACATGAAATGTCTCCCTCGAATTAATGATTGCAGAAGAATGAAAAGGCATACCATGTTTCGAAATACAGTCGAATTTGTATTAAAAAGTATTCTTATATTTGTTTATTGTAAGACCTATATAAGACTTTTTATAAGACTAACATATATACTGCCCTGTGTGCTTTTTTTTATAACATCACAATTGTTCAGTGTTCAATTAAAGATAAATATGTAAATACTTGTAAAATTTGACACCTATCCGGCTGTTAAAGGGACAATCAGTGCACCATTTATATATGTATAATTTATAATTATCCACACGTTGATTATTATCAAAAAGAGGGGAGGAAGGTTCATTTAATTAGTCATAATTTAAAAATAAAAGTATCTTTTCTTTTGCATCCATTAACAGTTGTTCTTAAATTGTTTCCTTGCCGGACCTCAATCGCTACATACTCGTATACTTAAGACATATATACATTGTTTGTTCTGTTAACCACTTTGAAAATTATTTATAATGTACCTGGTCAAAATAAAATCGAGCTAAAGTTTAGTTATTGTTAATGCAAGTGCCTATTTTTAAGTAGACCCGTAGACTCTACGTCAAATAATAAAAATGTGTTCAAGTGTAAAACAAGAGATTAAGAAGAACTAAAAGAATCGTAAGTATGTGTGGGCTGTAAAATTTTCAGTGTGAAGAGTCATCTAAAGTGGAGTTTTGACTTAATTTTAAACATGAAATCCCATTTCTCCTGGAGTTTATCTACTAATACACTCAATAGCATAGCTACCTTTGCCCTTTAGATTGCGCTTTGCCATCCCAATTGAAAAGATTTGGGCATTTATAAAGCAGCGGTTGGCACGCAATTGTAAACTACTACTACGTGGACAACTGCATGTATTTTGTTTCTTTTGATCTTCTGCTTGTGCGTCTGGCTACCCATATCCTATTTCTAACGCAAATAATATATTCATTTCTCCTTTCGAAATTGCTGACATCCTGCATGGTTTGCTTTCCCTAGATAATTGTTTTCCAGCTGTACACTCCGTACACTACGAAATCATTGTGCATATCCTTAGTTCGCCCTATCTTGGAATATTGCTCTGGTGTATGGAGCCCACAAAACAATGAACAACAAATGTTGATTGAATCTGTCCAAAAACAATTCTTACTGTCTAAACTGGGACCCATAAAGCCGCTTGCCTCCTTATACTTGTATGTACATATACACAATGTCAAACGATACTCGGCTCAAAGTTAGGATTTGCTTCACCCTTTTTTGAACCAGGCAGTTTCATATTCGTTCTCACTGGATGCAGCCTCGTTTTTAACCCATTTGGGGGTTAAATTTGCAAAAGCCCACATTCAGTTTTTCAACTTCGTATTGGGCTTGAGTATTTTCTTTTAAGCAGGCAGAGTTGTATTTACGTCTGCACTAGATTCAGATGTAACTCGAAGTAAAAAACAATGTTAACCCGTTTTGGGGGTCGAATTTCACAAAACCCCAAATACATTTTTCCAGCTAATTCTCAGACTAGGCCCAGTTACATACTCGTATACGTACATATTTTCTCTTAATTCTTATCAAATTAGAACGTGAATATGCGTCTCAATATGTGTTACACCTTTTTACATTTGTAAATATGTTCATATATGTATGTATGTGTATATCTATATACAAACACATATGTATGTATATCATTGAGAAGCGACGTACGCATAATTGAAGCCTATCAACTGTCTGGGCACTCGTAGAGATGAGAGACTCAGTTGTCAAGATGTAATCTAATCTGCGGTCAAATAAATTAAGGTTCTAGCATTGTTTCACGTCTAGTTGCGATTCGGACGCGGTTTAGTGCAACACGAAGATACGCAGGGCGCACGAGACTCCTTAGCATGGGTGTCTAGTAAGTAACCATTGTTAAAGCTAAAATTTAAATCAACATGAATTACCTACAGACCAAAGGGGGGAGCACCGTAAGTATGGGTTGTGATGCGGCTTTCAAGTAGTGATAAGTTTTCATTTTATTTTCAATGACAGTCGACGCCATCAAAACCAAAATACTTGAAAGATTTAAACGCAGAGCAGCTACAAACGTTTTGCACTTCTTTTGATACCGTCTTCTGTGATTGTGATGGTGCGTACGAATTCATACAAATGTACATACAAACATACGTAGTAGCTTAAGCTTATGTTCCCTGTAGCGGAATATTGAATCAATATATTACTTAGAAATAAGTGCTTTAGATAAAGTATTTTCTTCCTATCAGCAATGCAGATTTATAAATTCACAATTTTCGAGCTGGAAGACAATTTTACCCCTTTATGGGGGTCGAATTTGTCCCAATCCTCGAATTTAGTGTTTTTTGGGCCAAACACAGTTGAACATTTATTCTCACTCACTATGAACAGCCTCAATTTAAAAGTTGGAGGACAATTTTACCCCATTTAGGGGCACAATTTTTTCAAATGCTATAATTTAATTCCCAAGCTGATGAATATGAACAGGCTTTATTTCATGGCGATTGGTCCATTGTCGGAAAAGAAAGTGAGAAGCACCGATAAATAGAAGTTTGTTTTTATAGCCGTTAAGTACTTCGTTTAAAATTCCGAACTTGATAAATACTGAGCCACATCCTACGCCTCATTTTCACAATTCCATAATACCCCTTCACTCCTTTTTTTTGGGATAGTCCAAACTCAAGTCTAGACAAAAGCGTGAATTGAACCCGATTTAATGACGTATAGTATATATCCCCGCAACACACTCATGCAGGCGTCGTGTGGTACACGTTGGGCGACTTTATTCCCGGCTCGGCGGATGCCATTAGGCAGCTACAGCTTCAAGGCAAGCAGCTGACTTTTGTGACGAACAACAGCATCTGCTCAGTGGAGCGACATATTCAGAGATTTGCTCGAGCACAGCTGAAAATAGACAAGGTGAGTGGGTCTAGGTAGTTACTGGTAACTTAATGCCCATCACATCACATCCCATCCCATCCAATCCAATTAGCAACAAATTGTACATCCGGCGCAGACCGTTTGCGACTATCTAAAGTCGCAGAACTTTGAGGGCCTCATATATTGCCTGGCTACGGCTTCCTTCAAGGAACTGTTGCTCAGCCAAGGCTTCCACCTGGTTCCAGAGGTGGGTGGCAATCTACATATAAGCATTTTCCATGCTTATACTTTTCAAACTTTCCAACGCAATTTTAGCAACAGGATGGCGTCCAAATCAAGAATCTGTGCGATTTGCGAAGCGCCATCCAGGCAGAGCATCAAGTAAAGGCCGTCATCATTGATGTCGACTTCAACATGTCCCTAGCCAAGATAATGAGGGCCTACCAGTATCTGCAGAATCCTCAGTGTTTGTTCATAGCGGGAGCTGCAGACGGAGTCGTTCCTTTTGGGGCTGGCGAAGTTATAGGTGGGTGGACGCTCTTCCATTCTCCATTTCATGGTCTCAGTATTATTTTGCAGGTCCTGGCGCATTCATTGACATTGTGGCTCTGGCAGCGGGACGTCAGCCTGTGGTGCTTGGCAAGCCTGGCGCCGGACTGATGCCAATATTGCGAGAACGCCATGTGGGCAGCCCGCCCGCTCGTGTTCTCTTCATCGGCGACAGCCCAGGAAGCGACATCGTCTTTGCCCGCCAGTGCGGCTATCAGACACTGCTGGTGCTGAGTGGCGGCGTCTGCGCAGCAGATGTGGCATTGGATGATCAGTCGGCGCCAGACTATGTTACCGATTGTCTGGGCGACTTGACTAATTTTATATGAGGAGGGACTGGCTGGATAATAACCAACGCTATAAACACTCTCCCAAATATACCATCCGAATCGAGAGCCTATTACAAGAATGTCTCTAATAATAATGTAAACCTCTATATCGTAGATTGGCATGTACTCGTGTGTATTTGTAGCTGCGGGTCGAATGAGTTTGTTTTCAAGAAGTACGAAAGTTGTATTCCCTTTTTTGAAAATGTACCTTTTTTAAATAACATACTTATAATCCAATCTGATTCACATTTATCCAATTTGATTTTGATAACTTTATGAACGAACATGTTTGTAATAGATCGACTTTTCTTAGCCTGACCGTTCCTAGAAAACTCGTCCGATTTTACTCAAACTTTTCAAAATTATTGGCTGTACAAAAGTATTTCCCCATCCCTAAATTGGTTCGAAAGCCTGAAACCATTTGCTTCGCATTCGCAGGTATATGTTTTAACTTTATTTGAAACCTCCTCGTTATAGGATTTTGTTAGAAATAGTTTAAGAAACAACAAAGTTATTAGAAAGTCTGTCGATTGTTCCTCTGGCCGCTATATTATATGACTGGGTTTGACCATTCATTTGATTGTAGAACTAAGAAGCCTTTCTACAAATCTGCAAATGAATATCGTTTCGAACAGTGGGGGCCTGCCATCCGGACTTATCCCGAACTTTATAGTTTACGGAAGAATATTTTATTTTTGAAGCAAATTTAACATATACTTATGATTTCTCACAAATAAAACTTATCTAAAAATCTATCTGAAGAAATGGTAATCCATACTAGATCTTGAACATATTTCCTTCTATGGAGAAAAGCTTAAAAAGAAAAGAAAATCTCACATCTTCCAGACAGCGAATAGACTTATTTTCCAAGATTCCCAACTGATGTACTTTTGTAGGTTTCGGAAATATAATAATTTCGGAAATATAATATGTTATATTGTAAGATAAAATTAGAACTAATATAGGCTTAGTTTCTTTAGTGAAATGTGTCCTAAAGGTATGCCACAGTATATCATCATCGCCCAAGAACAGCACTTCTTTGTTTCAGTCAGTTTTATTATAAAAGCGAAATATTTTAGTGCATGTAAAAAAAAGTCTTAGGAACGGGGCATTTTCTTATTCTTAAACTTCTTTTGGTTAATTATAGGCCATTCCTGAGCTAATTGATATTCAATTTCCTGGGGAGTCATATTGCCTAAAGACTGTGGTCCATTTGGAAAGTTCAGCCTCTTGTTGTGGGATCCCGGACGAGCCGAGTTGGTATTCGTATTTCCCGACATGTCGGGTGCAGGTCCTAGTCCACGCTGCGACTCCTGGACGGGTCTATCGCCAAACAGAGACTTGACAGCCTGAGTCGCTTTTTTATTGGCCTGCACATCAAGACGAGTGGCGGGAAGGTGAGACGGCTGCGCATACAACCCAAACATTTCAGTAACCCCGCGCGGCCTAGGGCGTCCTTGACGGCGTTGCTGACCAGCAGGCTTATTCCGCTTTTCACCGCCACCCGATGGATTCGTATCTCCATTTCTATTAGGATTTCGATTGGTAGCAGCTGCGTTCGATGGGGGCTCTACGGTCACAACTAATGCTTGTCCATTGACAGGTTGCTCCTGATCCCGACAATTATTGGAAGCGTGCGGCTTTATCAAACCGTAAGCCTCTGCATTTGCCCAGCGATGTTGCATGAGCAACGTATAAACGCCGCGGAGATGCGGGCAACCCTTCGGCGGCAGCACTTTCTTTGGCTCAGCCGGCTTTTCATCCTCCTCCTCTTCGTCCTCGTCGTCAGTAGCCTGAAAGTTTGGATTTTTCAGGCAAATACCGTAAATTTCGGGTATGGCCTGGAAGAGGGAAAATTAAAGGAACCCTCAAATGTAGCGTTGAAGTGTACCTTCTCCGATCTTTTAGCGCTGTCCTGACGCCTGTCATGAGGCACAAACTCCTCAGACGCAGCACGCAGTCCTTGACCATGATCTTGCCCCTTAAAATCGCTGCCACCTGCTGCCTCTAGGTCGTTGTTCATGCACAAGCGATTGTATAATGTGCCATTGAAATAGAAGTACTGCCCATTATCCTCCCCCGGCTGTATTTCACCAGCCATCGAGCCATTGGAAGCCGGCTCTCCTTCAGGAGACATTTGGCGCAGAGTCACGCCGCCTTGGTGTTGAACTTTCCGAAATTGAATAACGAGCAATAAAGCCACATAGCTCTCCACGTCTTTGCGAATTCCGTGCATACGGTCCAAGAGAGACATACTAGGTAATTCCTGGATTGGTATCAGCGGTTGGATGCGCGGCTTTGGGCTCAGTGACATCATCGTGAAAGATTCTATTTTACTTAAAAAGAAACTCTAGATGCGTTTACCAAAAACTTTCATTCTTTTCAGAAAAAGCAAATCAAACTATTCTTGATGTTGATCTTTTTAAAATCTTCAATCGTATGTCGGAGTCGTTTTTATGTTTGAAGCAAATTTTTACCATAGTTTTTCAAACTACGACCAATTTAATATAAACACATACATACGTACATATATATGTATATAAAACGCAGTGCTATTGCTATGCGCGCATGGCATGCCGGCGACAAAATGTCTGTGCATATGCACGTGCATACACACGTACATGTATGTGAGTATGTACGTGCGTGCGACCGTTTGTATGCGTTTTCATCAAAGTTTCCAAATGCCTTTTCACAAAATTTAAATCCATCAAATTCAAATTTTCATTGAATTTGTCGCTTACAGCAAGAACACCCCTTTCGAATGGTATATGATTTATCAAAATTTGTTTGCTTTTTCATAAACATGTGCGTTAAAAGGAGTAAAAGAAATACATTTTTCTTTCTCATTTCTTTTTACTTTTTTTTAGCCGTACTATGTGTAGAGAAGAGAATTTTTCTATTAATTTGTGTTCTATTTAAGTTTTCTGGTATTCATTAATACATATTTTACTTACAATTCGGTTGGGGCAGTTTTGTTTGTTCTGAAAAGCCCAATTATAAAAATGCAAACCGCTTTTTAAACCTACTATATGCCGGCACACGGGAAACGGACCTTCTGGAAGCAAGTGTTCGCAAACGACACAAATTCATCGATATACACAATTACAAAATATAAAGTAGTGAGTAAAATACCGCCACCAAATACCTTTATATCGAGTACTGAGTAAATATAAAGAACACTTTATTAAGACATATATCGCGTATCGATAATGACATCTATTTTCGATGAGTAAAAGTTTTCCGCAGTAGCAACGCTGAAAGTTTACTTGCGATTACATATTTAGTTCTTAAAACGCACGGGTTTGCGCCGGCGCAAGAGGGGTCTCATTAGAAGGATCATTTGTAGCATTAAAGTGGACATCAACTTAACTCGTAAATTAATCCAAACTAAATTGGAAACAGAATACTGGAACTTTACCACATTTATAAATAGGGGATATACCGCATTCTCTCCCAGCCTAATAAAAATTCTCTGCTTTCAACAATCTAAAGGAAATATTTCAAGTACATAATGTACACAAATAAATAGGCTAACATTAGGCCACTACCTAAACAAGGCCCAAATAACCAAAATGAACGTTATAAGCTGTGATATATGAGACGTACATATGTGAGGTGGTGGAAAGCACCATATAATATACAGCTGTGCAAAAAGGAACCACTTCCCAACACTGCTAAATTATGGCAACATTTGTAACTTCATTGCGAACGAACGAATACATCACACAATTTTGAACCAAAATCAATGCTTATATTTAAAATCATAGTAAATACATAATCGGTGATGCCGTTTTCCTCGTAACTAACGTCGACGGCCAAATAATTCTTTGCAAAAAATCTGCACACCTGACGCAATCTGGTTGAGAGCTAAAAGGAATTTAAAGTCCTGAGGGACATTTAAAAAAAACACATAATCAATACACTCAGCTAAAGAAATCACAACCAAATGGGCGCCGAGCACTCCCAGCAACGCGCCGAGGGAGATGGGCACGAAATATTCGAAGGTCGAAACAGCAGATATGGAAATGTGAGCATGGCTCAAGCCGAACAGCAGCTCAGCAATGCCGCTGCTGCGTTCGGAGATGGCAGCACGATGGCCCTGACAGCAGCCGCAGCAGCTGCAGCCAACAAACGCCGAGGAGCTGGCGCGCAGCGGCAACAAATGCATGGCAATAGTATGGCTGGGAACAGTCATCAATCCAGCATAGTGATTGCAAGCAAGCAAATCATATCGGACACGGCGTCGCCCACAAGCTCCGAGCTGAGTCGCCCGCCGTCGCCACCACTCAGCGTCTGTTCCGACCTACCCTATGTATCGTACACAGATCGACCTATTGGAGACTCGCCTAAGATACGCAATAAGCCGCATATGCTTCAACAGAGTTCCGCCAATCGCGCCGCTGTACGTAAGTCCCATCCAGGCGGTCTTGCCAGCGTGAAGCCAAAGCGGCCACAGTCCACAGCCTCTAGTCATAGCATAGTCATTGTCAAGCCAGGGGCGCGGGATACGCACGACGATATCGATCCGGATTTGGCGCGGTTGCGCAAAATTCCGCAGTTCCTGCCCGTGTTGCGTGAAACCATTACATCGGCCACCTTTACGCGCGATGCTGAAATTCTGGAGCGCCTGCATTCGGAACATCTCTTGAGCATTTGCGTGCGCATGCAGACTCACTTAAATCTTTGCGCCAACCATGTGGCTAGCGAACAGAATCATTTGGTCGAACGCACGAAAGTGGTGAGCAACTCCATTACCACATTGTTCGCTTCGTTTGTGGACATGCAGAAGACCTATGCCTCCTATGCGGAACAGTTCGCCAAAATACGCGGCGTATCCCAACAGCTGAGTCGCTGTAATTCGCTGTTGCATGAAAATATTGCCAGTCTGGAGGCAATCAACAATTTCCTAGACGATGAGGATCGCTTGGAGCCCTTTATTTGGCGCACCGATGACAACAAGCTGCGCGGCGAGGCAGAGGGCGCGGCTGGCGGGAATAGCAGTCGGCTCTGGCGGCTCTAAAATGTTCATATTTCAATCCCATTACGTGTTGTAGTTGTAAGCATTTTATTATTACATTGAATCTGCGGTGTTTCACGAACATACATACAAATTTATGCACTTAAACGCATTAATTGTTAATAACAATAGAATTATTTGTACAAATAGGTACACAAATACTTTTACTTCTACACATAAATTGGACTAGACGAGACTTTGGAACACCGTAGTACATTCATATATTGTATTTCTATTTAACTAATTATATATGTATTTATCCGGGTGATCTCATATTTCATGTAACCTTGTTAAACATTCAGTTATGTATGTAAATACAAATACAGCACTATGTTGTGCATATGTTTACACATAAAAAGACCCTAAAAATGTGAGTTTTTCGTTTCCCTCATTTTCTAAAAAAAACCAATATACATATATACATGTATGAGTTTTTCCCTTCTTCCTTGCTTTTTGATTCTCAGAGAGAGAGTATGCCTATTGCGTATAAATATTACACATATAAATACATTTATATACATAGAGGTATCAAGTTTTGCACTACAGTCCTAATTACTTAATCGTATAATTATTTGAAAAAACCAAACACATTTATATATGGTTTATGATAAGATACTCCGTATTTAGCAAATTAGCAGCAAGCATACATACATATACACACTTAGTTATATATATACACATATATATAGTGATACTTACGACTTAGTTTGAATGGCGAATGTAAATAACGCGAAATGAAGTCATTTTGATGAATCGAAGCTATCTGAAGCTTGCTTGTTGTTCTTCTAGTTGTGGTTTTGGTTTTTTATCCGATTTTGGTTAGCCTACATTCTTCGCTGCCTTATTGTTTGGTAAAGAGCGCGACAGCACAGCACAAGATTAAACAGAGTGCAGACTACAATGAAGCATTGGGAGCAGAGTGGCACGAGACGACAGAGTAGTCCGCAGTCTAACAAAAAGGGAAAGTGTTTGGCTAACTGCTATCGCTGCATAAAACTGCTCCAATAGACGAGGAGCATGAGCATTATGTTAGCGCAACTTATCTTCTAGAAGAGCTTCTGCATGTACACTCGTTCTTGCACGTTGCGCTCCCGCTGCTGATCCTCAATGGCCTTCAGCTCTTTGGCCACTGTGGATTTTAGAGCACCATCCAGACTGAGCGCCTCCTTAAAATCGCGTCGCGCAGCATCGGGATTCCAAGCGCCCGCGTTTGCTTTGGCGCGACGAAATAGTGCCTTCACATTGTTTGGATCTATGGTCAGCACCTCGTTGCAGTGCTCGATGACCGCATAGTAATCGGCAGCGATTAGGCGACACTGCGCAAAGTTCAGTAGCAGCGGTGTCTTCATTGAGGCAAGTTCTTGCCATTCCGGATCGTGTGGTTTCTCTTTTAGCATGAGCTGCTCGATCATGCCTAGAGCTTCGCGATAACAGTTCTCCGCCTCGGTATAATGTTGCACTTTATAGTGACGATTGCCACGCTCGCGCAATGTGTTGGTGGCTAGTAATTTCTCGTCGTCGGACATTTGCCAACGCTCCTTTTCATATTCCTCGGGAAGCTCGATGGAGAAAAGTTCAATAATGAACTCCAGATCGACAGGTTTCTTCAACAGGTCATCCAAATCATCGTATCCAATGCCCTCATTCTGCAAAGTCATGCCGCAACAGTGACGTCGCTCCTCATTTTTCTTGCCAACGCCAATATCCCGCAGGGTCTTCGATATGAATGGATACTGTGTGCACAGCTGTGAAATGTAGCAGTGGAAATTGTGAAATTATATCTGACTTCATCTGTATATGCACATATGCTTGCACATATGTATGGCTGAAGGTCATTCGCTCACCGATTTGTGCACTGTAAATTTTGCAATCTCATTCAAGGACATTTTCTGTACAATGACTTCCCACACCTCCAACTTAAATTTTTTGCCCAGCACCAGCTCCATGGGCTTGTCCATCTTGCGGCTGTCATCGATAACGTTTGTGGAGTTGACACGGCGTGTTTGGAAATGGAACTTCACCTAAAATATTCCGCCCCATGAGATATTTTATACGAAAATTGTGTGGGGGCGGGCGGGCGTTTGCGCGAAGCTGTTGCTGCTTACCCTGGTGCCTGGCTTTAGTTCGATATATTTTTTACCAGCACTTATGATTTCTTTGCGTATAAGCATCGGCTCCATTTTGTTTACGATTTCTGATTTATTGAGCTTCCAATCAATAACGCACCAATTTAAATCAACTATTGATTCTGTGTTTGTCAGCTGAACTGCGTTACCACTTTGGCAAAAAAACACTTGTTGTTGTGGGCGAGCTAGTGATGCACAAAAGCGATTCGATGTCGCTTTCGATAGCGATTACTGCAATCGCTATAATATGTGCACATATATCGAGTCAGTTAGTGCTGGTACGGCTAACAACTGATGGAGAATTTGAATCTGCGAATGAATTGCTTGATATGTCCCAGTATGGACGGAATTTATTCTAGTTAGAAAAAAAAGTGTAAGGAGTGTAGAAATTCGTAATTCATGTAAGCTACGAACGACATGTTTCCCATAGCAAATTATTCAATCATTGCCAAATGTGCATGTGTCAAAGGAATTAATTCTAGTTAGAAAAAATTGTGTTAGGAATTCGAAATTCGATAGCAATTACCTTTAAAGCAGAAGAAGATCGTTAACGGTGTATTCACTTTAAATATAATTTCATTTTCTTGAATTTATTTCTTCACTTATTTACGTCTCCACTGCACACTTGACTTTAGGTAGTTTACACTTTTCAGTTTATTTATTAAGAAATTCGAAACACACTCTGCGTACGAATCGCAGATTATATTTTGATCAAGAAACTTGTAAGTAAATCCTGCAAAGTTGACTTGTCTGCTTGAAACGGGAAATCAACTGCAGGAACAGAGAAAAAACACCATACAGGCTGTTTAAAACGTAAATTGTAAAGTTTAATAGTTTATATAATTTATACAGCTACATGTACATATGTATGTATTTTAATGTAAATAATATGTGTATAACGTGTCTTCATATTTTTAGATCTATTCATTTAATCAGCTTTGTTTGTTTCCTTTTTAATTTGTAGTTTCTCCAATGATTCGATTTGATTTGCTTTTATGAAGAGCATAAATTGTAACATTTTTGTACATGCTAAGTAAACATTATTATTGCACATGTTAGGACATAAACAAACAATCTAATATTTGCTAAATATACTATATAAGTGTATATATATTGTGTGGTGCATGAGCTGATCGGCTTGGCTTTAAGGATATGGTGCACATGTCTCTTGAAATGGTCAGTGGCGTTACTTTAAAACAGCAAAGGCGCACGCGTTGCTCCACCCGCCACGCTAAGCGGATGACGATGTGTTTGATCCTGCTGCTGCTGCTGTTGTTGTTGTTGTTGTACTTCATTCGCGTGGTTGTGGTGCAGATGATGTGTGGTTGTCTTAGTAGTTATTGCTGTTGCAGTTGTTGTGGCCATTGGCGACTTCAGCTCTTCAACAATAATAGCACCGTGCTCGTCCACCAAATGGTTCAACAATAGGTTCTCCACCTGCTCATCAGATAGTAATTCCTTCGGCTCCGAGGATCTGCAAACAAGTGAGATTAGTTTTGATTTTTGAGCAATGAAAACGAAACAACTACAACGGCCCACACAGTTTACAGCACAATGACAATTAATAACGAATGATTAACCAATCGAGTGCGAATGAAGGATTCTCTTGATGATAGTTGCAAATGGAAGTGCATGCAAAAAAACCAAAGAAGAAAAGGAACGGAAACGGAAACAAACAACATACAAAACACGACATACAAAAATGTTTCGGTACATACACCTACGATTTTTGATTTTGTTTTGTTTTTTGTTTTTTTTTTTGAGTAGAATTAGTAGAATTAGAAGCGTGCGTGCAAATGCTGTACTTTAGTAGAGATATGCTTGTTCTTGTAGTAGTAGTAGTTGTTGTTGTACTTGTTGATTATATTATTATATAGTTGTAGTTGTTGTTGTTGTTGGTATTGTGATGGAATGTGTTGTTATTTTTTCAAAGAGCAAAGACCAAATCAAAGCAAATCAATCAATCAATATACGCATACATATTGTATGTATATAGTTATTGTTTGTTATATTGTTGTTGCATTGTTGTTGTTTTTTGTTTGAAATTTTGGAAATGCGTTCGTTCAAATGAATTTGCTCAGACGATTCTGCAATGTGCATATGAGGCCGCCATTTCGACTGCCAGCCGCAACGTCAGTGCCAGGATCAGGAACGCTAGCGACAGTGTCGGAGCGTTGTGACTGCGACTGTGACTGCGACTCTGACTCCGGCTTCTTCACCACTACTGACCTGTTGAAGAGAAAGAAATCGCCGGCACTGGTGCTGCTCACTGTGGACGTCGTACCCGCTCCCAAACCCATTCCTATTCCCATTCCCATTGTGGAGGAGGAGGAGCTGATCATCGATTCTGGCGTTACAGCCGTGCCCTCGCAGCACATCTCCGATTCGCTATTGCGACGCTCCAGACTACGTCCCACCTTCTGAAAGCCGTAGCTGAACACATCCTTCACCTTATCCCCAGCGTCGATGAGCAAATCAAAGCTCTGGCGCCGGCCCGAGTTTTTAAAGCTGTTCGATCGTGATAGCCACTGGCTGAGGCTCTGTTTGCGGCTTACTTGTTGGCCAAATCCACCACCACCACCACCACCGCTGTCATCCTGAAATATGGTTGTACAGGTAACTTTGCGCTTTGGCTCATCCGAGGACGAAGTCGAGTGTTGGGACTGTTCGTCGGCATCCAGCATGGCGCCGCCGCCGCCCCCATGCCTGCCATCCAGCCCGTGTTCGTCGTGCAGCAGCGATTGATTCGAATAGCTGGAGCTGGTGCTGTCCGAATGGGAGAGCCGTATCTCCGTCCATTGCTCGATGTCGTTGTCGTCGGCAGCAGCCGTGGTGGGCGCATCTTGCTGCGACAGACTGCTGCTGCCCGACTTGGCGTTCACATCGTAGGGACCGTGCAGGTCCTGTCCCTGTAAGTCCTGCCCAAACAGATTGTCGCTCGCCGACTTCGGCATGCCAGTGGCCAGCTTCTGCGGAAAGGTCAGTACGGCATCGAAATCATGCAGCAGATGCGGACAGTCGTGGACGTCATAAGTACGATGCGAGGGCGAATCAATTGCCAGGCTGCTGCTCAGGTTATCGGGCATGCGCAGGTATTCCTCGTTCACGGCAGCTTCCGCTTCCAGCGCTGACGTCACACTGCTAGTATCCATACTCGTGGCCTCCACAGTCCCCACCTGACGCAGCATAGCCTCGTAGTTCAGGAGATTTTTGCGCTGCTGCCGCTGCCTGTGTATGTCCTCAGAGATCTGCTCCAGATTCTTCAGCGCCTCATTGTAAGTCAGCTTCGCGGCGGACACCTTCGCCTCCAATTCGTTGACACGCAGCTTTTGGGCTTTCAGCAGTCCGTTGTAATTGGCGCGGGTCTCGTAATACGGCCTGTGTGCAACAAAATGAGGCATACTATATATACTATTTATCCACACAGTTGTGCTCCGAAATACTCACGAACATAAGGGACAATATAAAGCGTGCATAATGCTAAAATATCTCAACAAAAGTAAATTGCGTTTATATTGCAATCTATAAATAAAAATTATGTTGCCGAAAAGGATAAATATTAAGGGAAATAAATCGAGTAGAGTGTTAAAGCCGAGCTGAACCGACTTTTGCATACCCTATACCCGCCACAAACTCCTTAAGCTACACTCAAGCTTGCTGTACAAGGCATTTCCATTTTTAATAAAACTTAATATTATAGTGAAGCATAATACTGAAATATGAATGATTAAGTTCGGCTAAAATATTGTTCTTGGTACTAAGACTGGTTTTTGGAATAGTTTTTTTCCTGGTCTCTCGAAATATGATGATTACACATTAGATTACAAACTAACAAGTTATCTGGCGAAGAGTGATTTTTCAACGGTCCTTCCTATAGAAGGTATAATGAAGGATAATGAAGTAATACATGTTTTGTACTTAACATGCTGTGCGTTTGCTCCAAATAGGACTACATACGAAGTTTGACGTTCCTAGCTGTTTTGGTTGAAAAGTTCTCGAGGTTCATACGGACGGACAGAAGGTTCGGCAGACGACTACATGTTCCTCTGCCTGTTACCATCGTTTGGCGTTTTACCCTGCAGGTACAGGGTATGGAAAAAATGTGGAGGGTGGAACTATCTGTACCTAGAGGCGCGCAGTGCTTGCTTTAGCTGCCCCTGTAGCTTGCCCACCCGATTGTTGGCAAGCTCCAGCTTTAGTTGGCACATCTTGAGCGCGTTGCGCGTGTCCGTGACCTCCAGCTGCGACTGGTTGACCTTGCTGGCTGCATGACTCAACATTTCCTGGCAGGCTGTGTCCAGCGTCGACTTCTCGCCCAATCCCTGTTCGGCCAAGTAGACCATTTCCTTGGCAGCGGCGTGTATGGATTTGGCCTTCTCGTGATTCGAGGCGGCCTGCTGTGTCTCCTTGGCCAGCTATATACATACATGCATACATATATGGCGAATTCAACAATCTGATCGATCCAATGGATTTGCTATTTGTGGGCCGTGGGCCACTTACCTGGGCCGCATAGATGCGAGACTCATAGTAGGGTTTGGCGGCGTCTATGGAGTTTCCCAGCTTGTGCGCGGCGGTCTTAATGCGTGCCACACTCTCTGCCAACAGGCGCTTGAATTCGCATTTCGCCTCCTGTGTGTGTGTGGGCGTGGGTGTGTGGGTTACGGTAAAGGTAAAGCAATTAGAGGGGGTTGCAGTTACATAAAACGCCTACTGGAGAAAAAAATCAATAGCTACTCACATCGAGCTCCACTTCATATTTGTTTATATTATCCGTGGCCGTGTTCAGTTTTTCCAGCTCGATCTGCCAGCAAGAGAAACTCATTCATTAATTTCAAACCAGCTCGACCGACCGACCGACAACCCCTCCTCCATCCATCGTATTATCTCTCACTTACCTGAACCCGCGGATCGACGGGTGTATTGCTTTCCGTTGACATTTTGTGGGCCACCGTTGCTTTCTATTTGATTATCCCCTGCCACTGGCATTTGTCTTACACATTAAATAACGCTTAACTTATTTGTTGCATAGCTCTGCCTTCTTCGATTGCAACGCGTTCTGCGTTTTCATCAACTATGCGAGAGCGTCAATAGCAATAAAAGTAATATCTACATATACATACATATATGTACATACATATGTATAGAAACAGTTAGTTGTGGGGAAAAAGCTTCGCCATATGAATAGCTTTTTCGCAAATCGTTAAGATGTGCAAACCAGCTGACTAGGCTCTCTGCCCCAAAGCTTCCGCCATACAAACATATTTAAGTATGCTGCACAAACATATTTAAGTATTCTGCACATACATATATGTATGTATGTGTATAAACAATTGAAAAATGTTTACATTTTATACCGAATCTGAACACAAATTTCCAACTGGCTACTAATTACATTGCTAGCTGCCAGCCATGGTACAAAGTGAGAAAGCATGGCACTGTGCGGCTCCGTTCTTCGCCGTTCTCTAAGTGACGTCATCATATGTGCAGTGCTGCCAAATACCACATTGTTCCAATTGTGTGTAGTCAGACTGCGTTTAATTATTTATTTTCCTATGCCATTTTATTGGTTTAATGTAATTTAATTTAACAAATTTTTATTTCATTATATTTGTTTTTCATTTAAAATATCCCTACTCTTAAATTTAGGCCCAACCACGAATTTTTTCCCAGCTAATTAGGAATATATGTACTTTATGAAATCGTTGATGTGTTCTTCTGTCTGGCTCAAAAGCCTCATATATCATTTCAACCTTTGCTATAACCCTGTATTCGGGGTATACAAATTACGCAACTCTTTGATTTCAAATTTAGCGCCATAGCCAAAAACTGGCACAATTTTGAACAAAGCACGAAAATCAAATGCCTGTCACAGTCGGAGGAGCAGAGCACGTAAATTTATGGCTGACGCATATAATGACGTAGCTATGCAATGAGCGTAAAAATGTAGTAGTATTTAATTGCAAGTCTTTCAGTTTCTTTGTACTAGTTACCAACGGCCAGCTGCTTTTTTCAACAGTCCGGCGAATTAGTAAAAGCTCTCTCTTACAACTAGGTGGCAGCATTATGCCGTAAAGCGATAGCAACGCACAAACAAAAAACTTTAGATGCGCGTTAGTCTTCATTTTGTTTTTGTTGCGCGCGTGTGTATGCGTTCCGTTGTTATACGCTGGTGTTGTTTTTACCAAAAAAAAAAAAAAACACAGAGTTAAATAAAAAATAAATAAAAAGATAGTTAACGCGCTACCAAGAGGCAGTAAGACCGCAAATGTTAGCTGCTTGCTTGGCTTAAGGCTTAAGCTGCTGAAGGCAGACGCCACCATCGTGCAACATTCTTGTTCTTTAATTTTTTTTTGTGCTGGGGTTGCGTTTCTTGTATTGTTGTTTTATTTACGTATGCGCGCGCGCATCTACAAAGTTGTAAAAATATATTCACGTAAGCCTTTACAAATCAAAATTTGAAAAAAGAAGAAATTAACGCGTAAACTGCAGCGACAACACGCGCGTAAACATACTTGAATTAATTGACTGCACAGCCTGCTGCCACAGCCGCTATTGTTGTTGTTGCTGCTGCCGTAACGTCGCTGCCTGCACGCTGTCAGCAACATTGTTGTTGGTTTTATCTGCTCTTCTCGTTGCTGCACCAAATGACGTCGGCGACGCATTGTCTTCGCCGCTCTTCCTCACTCGATTCGCTTTCGTGTAGTTTTGGGTAGAAGGAGACTCAAAAAAAAAACTATTTCCAAACTTGCAAAGGTTCTTTTTTTGTGCCCTGCATCCAAAATTGTGAAAGGTTATGTTAGTTTGGTACACATGTATGTAATACTTGGTGGAAGCATAAATAAATGCATGCTTGAGATGCTATGAGACCTAGAATTCCCAAACTTTGTATACATTAATTTGTAGGCTAGAGCAGTTTGTGGACCTCTACCACTATTAGATAGATCTATGTATAGGGATTATTATTATTTTTTTTTTTTTTGTGCATATATTGCTTCTAATATTAATCTAGATAGTTCAATTTGGCAATTCGAAAAGTATAAAAGTAAATTACATATGTATTTCCGTTTTTTAATTTGTTTTCTATAGTTCATTAAAAACGAAAATAGAAAAAAATATATACAAGTATTATAATTTGGAAAAAAATGGAAATAGAAAAATATGGGTAGCTATATTTATTTTATGTTGGTCCGCCCCATTATTATTTTTTATTCCTATCCTGCATTTAGTTTAAAAAACTGTTGAAACGTACTTTTACAATGTTTGCAGTTTTGGAACAGTCAGATTAATTCGCCTCTAACTTTCCTTTTTTGTTTTATATTTATATATTTATTTCATTAAAATTGATAGAAATTAAAAAACAGCATCTTTTTAATATATTTTGGTTTTTAAGAATTGGCTCCACTCACAACATTACAACAAATAGTTTTAGAAATTGAAATACAATAAATCAAGAACTAGAAAAACTAATAGCAATTTTTTTTAAATTAATTAAATCGAAATACAGATCCAAATGGATGACTAAAAGAAAACATCTGCATTTATAATTGTTGTAATATTTGAGTTATGTATATGTACTATATTTACTGCGTCTTCATCTTGCTAGGAAAGTTGTTAGGACTGTTTTGTGGTAGGGCATAAAAAGCTGCACCTGCACCCACGGCTGCTGAACCCGCAGACGTCAAAGTTGACGCCGCTGGTGACGTCGCTGTCGCTGTCGGCGTCTTCGTCTTCGTCGACGCTGCGACTGCTGTCTCGATTAGCTTTTATTGGTTTACATTGCAGTTGCAGCAGCGCACAAACCGAAGACAACAAGAAGTAACCAAAAGGAATTTCATTTACCTCTCGCACGCACACAAGCACGCATCAATGTGTGTGCATATGCATGTGTCGTGACGCACACACATGGACAGGGAGAGAGAGACAATCACGCAACCGAACACGGGGCATGGCACTGCAATTGTGATTGTGATTGTGCCGGTGCGTGAGTGTGTGTGCGTGTGTCCCCAACTGTTTGCTTGCAGCAACGCATTAACAACACAGCAACAACAATAATAAGAACTTAAAAGTCGCCAAAGTCGCGGCAGCAAAGAAAAAAATCAATAGCACTATGGGCAGCAACAGCGAAAACGACAACAACAACAACAACAAAAGACACGAACGAGATAGAAAAGTTCGGTTTTTCCTGTACATGTGTGTGTGTGTGTGTGTGTGTCTGTGTATTTTTGTTCTTGTACTTGTACTTGGCCTTGCGCTTTCGCCCTTTTTTTTTGGAATTCAGTTGCATGTTAATACAAATCCGAGTCCGATTCCGAAGCTGCATATTCTACGCCCATGGTGGGGCCTTCTGGCAATGCCTTTTAAGCATTCCATCTCAATATATAGTATGTACATATTTCCGGAATATTATTACATGCCTATGTAGTGTTTGTGTGTGTATGTGTGTTTACAAAGCTAGCGGCAATGCAGCAACAACAATAACAAAAAGTGCCTGACTGCGTCGGTCACAACTATGTTGACAAAAAATAAATGAAATGTGTAAATTTTTTTATAACTGATTTCTTAAACAAACATTTTAGTGCAAATAACTCGCCAACTTTTATCGATTGAAATATCAAACAACAACAACAACAAATAAATAAATACAAACATATTAAGAATTAAGGAAATACATAGCAACACATTTTGTTGCGTTAGGTGAGTTATCCAATTGGAAGAATTTCTTAACAATCGTGAATTAGAACTTTCTTTATGATGTATTTGTACTAGAAGAATTATCTTTTCACTCCTGATAGTGCTCTGAAGGCAATTGAAAATCAAATTACCCTTATTTTCCCCCTTTTCAAGATTGCAATTTCATTTCGAAAATGAAATATAAGGTTACATATAAAATTCCAATATATACTATATGTATAGCTCCCACAAATACATTGTCCAGTCCCAAAGGCGAAATTGATGGAAGGGCATGTTCTTCCGTTTTCTCCTATAAAAAATCTGACTCGATTGGATTCAAAAATGCCCCTATTTTCCTCTTTTGAGGGTTGCATTTTCCAAGAAATTGTTATAAGAGAATGGTGGGGAGTAAGAGTAGAGAAAACATGGTTTTATAAATAACTTTTATACTCTGACCTCAAAATTTGTTACCATTGTTTTCCGGAAATGTTTATATTCCAAGCGATTTATATTTAAATTACCAGATACGCCTGTATTCAAAGAAATTGATTTTAAGCAAATACTTGTAGTTGGCCAAACTTATTAGCTAATTAGTTTGCATTTAGATGTTGAAAATAATATTTTTTAGCTTTTATCCCGTTGAAGTCAAATTCACCTTCTGGTGAATAGCGTTTCTACGGTTTATTTAAAGGAGCTGTTTAATGGTAATGATTGGCATAAACCGATTAATTATTGTAAGAATAAAATTTTATAGTCGACGAGTCAGAGAATATATATTTTGTAAATAAACCCTTTGGAGGCAAATTTGCCAAAAACGCTCTTATAGCCAGGGGCTGTTTAAATTTAAACGAATTAAAACGATGTATTAATATTAGATTACAATTTTCTTAACAATAAGACAGCCAATACCCATTTTGTAAGTAATATTTGGAGGCAAATTTTAGGAAAATGTAAGAAAGCACTTTTATAATTCCTAAGCAGAATTGATTTGCTTAAAATAAGAGATAAATGTATTTTTTGTTTAGTTATGTGGTTTGTATGTAGTATGTGCTTGGCAGACAGAATTTAAAGGCCGCTGGAGGCCGCAGTTTTCTCGGTCGTGCCCTCAGCGAAGACTCGGCACATCTCTCTAAGTGGCAGCTGTTGTGGCTGCCACAACACACATCGCACATCACACATCATCACCAACACTAGCAGCAAAGAAGAAGAAACTCAAAGCGCATTCTAGCGGTTCAATGAACTGCGACCGCTTTCTTGACGATGCGTCGCGAGGCTGAGCGCTTCTATTCTTGCTGCTTAAGTTGGGGCTGCCTTTGCACGCATTGCAAATTTACTCCAAAGTTGGAGGACGTTCGGTAACGACAGCTATGAGCTATGAGCGCAACGAGGCGCACACTCCAGCTAAAAGGCAGCAACAACAACAACTAAAAACTCTATAAGCATCATAACGCTTCATCTATCTTTTGCATCTGAATTCTTTGCAACATGTAGAAAGATATATATAGTACATATGTACATATATAGCATGCGAGTACTTGCTTTTTAGGCAGTCTCACAGAATTCAAATCTCCCTTGAAAGCGAACATGCTCGGAATATTAAGCTCAATATAATACTTAAGCATGTTATTAAAATATTTAACAATATACATAGGTGTTATACAAGTGTAATTGATTGTTCCTCCAACTCATAGCCGACGCTTTTTGTCGTCAATCTACTCGTCTGTTCGATGAAATTGATTAAGCTAGAATGATTAAAATAATAATATTAAATAATAAAATTTGGGTTAATTGAATAATTATGTTTCGATGTCAGATGCTAGTTCAATCTATAGCTGTCTGGTTGTGTCTTTGATCTACAACTATGATTAAATATTAAAATTGGCGTTAAACTAATGAAATGGAGATGAATCTAATTTATTATAATTCGATTGCTCTAGGTCTGTTCATCAAGCTTTTTCGTAGTAAAGAGAGTAGTTGGGTGCTCCAATATTTAGCTGAAATGTCGTCTATGATGTGGAACTATGATTAATTATAATTTGATGAATTTTGATTACAAAATGCTGAGATTAAATATGAAAAAATGTAATGCACGAATAATAAATTATGATTCGATTGCGTCGGAAAAGTTAGAGTACAAATGAATAAAAAATACAATTCATACAATACTTTGATTGCTGTCGATCGCAATGGAGGTCATCTCTTCATCAAGTTCTTCGAATTTAATCGAGCAAGTCGATGTTTCTAGAAATTGCATTTCTGTTGATTTGTTTTTCTTAAGAAATTGCGTTCTCCGGTTTGAAGTTTCTGTGTGTGTTTGTTTCTAATTTGTATAATAAACAATTTGATTTCCGTCAATCACGGCCATAATTCAACTTAATGGCATATCAAGAATGCCAAAGTTTTGAGTCGAGCTCATTTCAATTACTTTTGTGGCGCTGTCTTGTGGGGCTTTCGGATCTAGTAGTCGGCTGACGAAGCTGTTGTTTCTACATACCTATCGTCTTTGGTTCGACGTGACATGTTTCGAAATGTGGCATTAGAAGCACTTGCGTTTAAAAAATGAGCCGAAACGATGGTCCAACCAAAAGCTATATAGCTATATGTACATATATGTATGTGCGTCTAAATAATAATATTTGCATATATGTACACATGCCTAGGATATTGTATTTCTATATCAAAATATAATATAACATTCTGTTTACACATTCTGTGTGCTAAGCAATGAGCAAAGATTTTTGTATCCAATTCTGAAGTATCTTATGAAACACATTTAAAACTTGCACTAACTCTGAAAAACGAATGTGTTTTGAATTGAGATTAACGGCTGAATTAACAGAGATCGACAAAGTTGTTGAAACTCTAACACAAGGTAACAAATCTAGCGACTACAACTATGTAAGTTTAGAGCAGAATTTCTTTCTCTTTCTACAATTGCAATTGTTGATTGCTTGGTCTTCGCCTTAAAATTCGATCGATCTTATAAGGAATTTCTTTCTCATTTTTTCCAATCAGTGAAAACTGTTTGCTACATGTATGTACTTGTATGTATATCTGTAAAGATCTATATTCTAACAGTCAATTGGCAGATCTTACCCATATACAAACTGTATAGCCGTAGCTGTACCAAGAATATATTATCTAGATTTATCTAGAGTCGCTGTCCTGAATGTACTGAAGAAGTCATAGGTCCAGAAGTAGTGTTGTTTGGTATATATATACAAGTATATATATATATATATATTTTTTTTTTTTGGTTTAAGTTAGAAGTTATTGTTTGTTATATTTATACAAATTTCTGCCACGTTCTGTCTGTTCTCTGGAACAAAAACTTCTTTCTCTATATTTGGACATATTTCTACGGATTTTTAATGAATCTTTAAGAAACAGTAGGCATTTGTTAATTGGAACATATGGGATCTCTGCATCTGGAACTGGTTTGTAATTTCTGAAGGTAGTGCTCTTTTGGGAAGCGGTTTGTTGACCCTTCAGAATCAATAGCCATTTCGTAAACGAAAGTAAGAAATGTATATATGTATATTCTCTCGAAGAAGTGGTATGTCTGGGTATAAGTGGTCTGCCCGTAGTAACTGACGTATCTGAGGCAACTTAATCAGATCCGAATCCAATCTAAAGTTGATAGAAAAACTATCAAAATGCAACTTGAACAATTACACATTTTTTAGATATCGTGCGCGCTGTCGCAGCAGTTTGTTGGCGACGAGACTAAACGCAACAGCAACAACAAAAACAAAAACAACACTAACTGGTTCTCACTGGCATGTTTTGGAGCTGTGGTTCTTGTTCTTGTTGGTGCTGTTGTTGTTGTTGTTGTCGTCATCGACTGCATGGTGAGATGCTGGCTAACTGGCGGGCCTATTTGGGTCGCTTACGCGACACACAAACACACTAGAGTTGTGCGCGTGACAACAACAAAAAATTAAGTTATACTCGTACCATTGAAGCATAATTTTCATGCTCTGTTCAGTTCTGTTCTCTCCTGTATTCAAGTTCTAGTGTTGAAAGAAAAATGGTTTCATTTGGTCAATAAATAGATATCTGTTTCCTAACATTATTGATATTCAAAAATGTACCTTATTATTTTAAAAAGCTCTTAGTAGTATTTAGTTCTGGTTAAATTTTGTTGGAATTATACCAAGTCATTACTACAAAATACATCTTTATTTCTTAATAATTCAATAAGTTACAATTCAATAGGTTATAGCTTCAATTTCTTCGCTATAATTATAGATGAAATGTTGGCTAGAGACGAATTTCTTAATGAAATATGTAAACATATTTATATTTATGAACTTTTTTTATGAACTTTTTTATGAACTTTGCTTTTATGGCTTTTCATGCTCACGCGCCGCACTCACGCACAGATCTATGGCACACAAACGTATGCATGATGTATGTATGTATGTATGTACGTACAGATGTATGTTGGCAATACATACATACCTGCACATAGTACATACTCGTACATACATATACTTACGTACATGCACAAACATGCATACAAATACGTTCCAATTGATTTCTAATTAATCAATCTAATTTGGCATAGTTTTCGATTCTCAAACACGCCACACACACACTTCAAACCAAGGTATGTATGCCACCCCCACCCTCACCCTCACTTGCCACCTGGCACCTGGCACCTGCCATCCCCAACCCCACATCTTCCACTGCATTTTAATATCGCATCATTGTCGTCGCCTTCTCCTTCTCCTTCTTCTGCTTCTGCTTCATCTTCTTCTTCTTTAAGCTGTGCACTTGATCCGCTTCCGTTGTAGTTGTTGTTTCTTTTGTTTTGCAGGTTTTTCTTCTCTCTTTTTTCACATTTGATTGCGTAGCCCACAATTACCGTACCGTGCCGTACCGTACCGACGACAACTCACGTGTCTTCTGGGGTTTAACCTTTATTGGGGCGTGGGCGCATGTATAAGCATATGCAGATATACATATGTATGTATATATATATATAGATTTGTGTGTGTGTGTGTGTGTGTGTTTATCCA